GGGTTGCAGGGATGCGCTGTGTACCTCGATGATGTGGTTGTGTATAGCGAGGAGTGGTCTGAACATCTGGAACGTATTCGGGCTCTTTTTTTTAGGCTTGTTGATGCTCGCCTCACTGTAAATCTAGCCAAGTGTGAGTTTGCCCAGGCTACAGTTGCATACTTGGGGAAGATCGTAGGGCAGGGGCAAGTGAAGCCGGTCCATGCTAAGGTGGTGGCTATTGATAAGTTTCCTGTCCCTACCAACAAAACAGAGTTGCGGCGGTTTTTGGGCATGGTAGGGTATTACCGCAGCTTTTGTTCAAACTTTTCTACAGTAGTAGCCCCTTTGACTAATCTGTTAAAAGATAAAGTGAAGTTTGAATGGACTGTGACCTCTCAAACTGCTTTTGATAATGTCAAGTTGTTGATGACTTCTGCCCCAGTTTTGATGGCACCCCGTTTTGATCAGCCTTTCCAGATGCAGGTTGACGCAAGCCATGTGGGGGCTGGTGCGGTGCTCCTGCAGAGTGATGAGCAGGGGGTGGATAGGCCAACATGTTACTTCTCAAGAAAGTTTGGAGCTGCTGGAGAGTAGAGTGGTTTTTGGCCTGTGGACAAAAGGGTTCCTGTGTCCAGTCCATGTGAATGGGCTGTCAACAAACACAATGGGAATACACACACACACACACACACACACACACACACACACACACACACACACACACACACACACACACACACACACACACACAACGTCTACCTTTGGTGAGGGATCTGGAGGGGGTCTTCAGATCCCTCACCCTTTATTGTTATCGACCGCTCCGGTATTATTCCTCCCTGTTACATAGTGCCCTATAACACTGTCAACATTTAATTTCACACGGATTACCACTTCAGTCATCTGTACAACTGATTGAGACCAGTTTTGCACTTGTGGAGCCTCGCGGTGAGAACCATCAGATCACACACCACCACCTAATGAGCGGAAGGAGCAGACAGTGGCCCGTTGAGGAGGGAAGGAGAGGGTCTAAACATTGACAGCAAATATTTGATTCAAGGCGTAGGGGTGTCCCCCGGTTCATAGATGTCTGCTTACACACAGATTGCACACAAACACAAACACACACACACACTCAAAACACAGACCCACCATTGTATTTGTTATATGTGTCTACAGCTGTCTTTAACTGGGAAACAGAGAGGTGGATGCTTCATATACGCACCTCAACACACAGTACTGTGGGCCTGCGCCATGCTGAGACAAACACACAGCTCTACTGTGTTAGATGCTACTTTGTGTGTGTGTGTGTGTGTGTGTGTGTGTGTGTGTGTGTGTGTGTGTGTGTGTGTGTGTGTGTGTGTGTGTCTGTATTGGCTGTAGATTATTTCTAACTGACTTCATATAACTCTCATAGACACACCTGGTTGGCTGCCAGCACATTCACAGCCCACTCACACACACACACACACACACACACACACACAACACTGCGCCCTTTCGGCACACACAATCTCACACACCTGACCGAGCATCAGTTGGGGGGTTTCAGCTGGAAATCTGCAGGGATGGCTCCGCAGCATGGCCGACCTAAAAATACAATGCACTGGGATGTCCTTGGTGGATAAACACATTTCCCAAAGAGAGAACTGGAAAAGAAAAGTGAAGAGGCAAGCGCTGCGTTACGTGTTGAGCGCCGTCATTACCGTGGGTTCAGTGAACGCTGTGTGGGTTCACGCTTGTGAAGGGACTTGGTCATGTTACCAATGTGCATTTGGAACACTACTAGAGGCCTGAGTCTCAGCTTGTCAAAAGGCCTGTTCATATCTGGCAGCAGGAGCTAGCCTTATTAAAGTCAAAGATTAAAAACTAATGTAGTTCGGTCTTTGGCCCCCTTCTGTGGTCTCTGAGACCAGCGCAGCTCAAAGGGTTTCAACAGGTGATCAGAGTTCTCCATCTGCTGGACAACAAATAGAACCGCAGGTTCTGCATGGTCTTCTTTCTTTGAACTACAACTACCAGCATCCTTAGGTGTCCATGAGAAGAGAGGGACAGTAAATATATGTATTTACTAAAGGCCAGCGAATGCTTGAAGAAGGCTTAGAGAGTCACATCTATTTATTTATTTATCTGAGTAAGGAGTATCTAATCACTATTGGGGATTCCAGTTCTTCAAGTATGTTCAAAGCAGTTGATAAAATCACAGCGTAAATGACAAAATGTAAACACGGTTGCTGTGGACGATATGATTACATAACACAGAGCAGCACACAACTATGACTCATTCCCGACACCTGCAGGAAGTATCTAACGCTTACCTGTTTATAATAATATGTCTTCTTTACATTCACAGTTAAAATGTCCTGCTGCATTTTAGTGAATAAAATGTAAATCAATGTGAATTTCAAACCAACTCAAACAGTCCCCTCGTGTTTGTTTTTATTGATTTGGAGGGACATCATATTCCCTTTAGTGCTCTAGTCTACACATAATGTGTTGGTCTTCAATGGAGCATGTCCAAGTCATGTGCTTCATTTGAATGAAAGTCTTACTTGCTGTCATTGATACACTAATCTTTTCATTTCAGGTGGAGGGAAACACCCTGCAATATTCAAGGGTTAGCAACGGGAACTAAGGGGAAGGCTTTGTACCAGTCTCTCCCTTCCTCCCTGTCTCTCTCTCTGTGTTGAGTGCTGAGAGTACGGAGTGCTTTACAATTGTAAAGCTGGAGCGCTATACAATTGTAAAATAGACCCAGGTTGCAACATATTTCAATACTGTACAGGTTATGGCAAATAGGGCGCAGACACCATGGTTGATGAAAGATGTGTTTTATTTGCATTTAAACAAAGTAATAATTACCAGATGTGGAGTGTGGACGTCAGTGGCATCAGTAATGTCAGTGTGCTGTTCTCAGACCAGGTGCTCTGCATCTGGCAATCTGCTCTGTAGAGACAAAAGCAGACTGGCCGTGATCAGTGACAGTACAAACTGCCATTTAAAGACAGTAGAAGGCTCTTCTATGAACTATGGCAAAAGACCCACATGCAAATGTGATGGTGAAGAGCTCCCAGGGAAGTGGAAGCCTTTTCTTTGGTAGAGTCCAGTGACGTAATGGTCCTGTTTTCTTTTTCATATTGCTGAACATGAGATAACATCCCCCAGTCTGTCCAGTTATAGTTTTCGCTACTAGTTATAAAGTGGATCTAATAACAATAACAAGTTTTATTCATAGAGCACTCTTCAGAATACTCAAAGACGCTTTACGGATATTCAAATCATTATTAAGAGCTACACAGTAAAAACCTTCTGAGGAGGTCTGATTATGTGGGGGAGGAGATGGACTTTGTGTTGGATCCGCTGTGGGACGGGAAGCCTGATTCTGATGATGGCGTGGTTTGATCACAGGAGCAGAAGAGGGTGAGCAGACGAGCAGCAGCGTTCTCAAAGTACTGGAGTTTATTTAGGACTACGGTTGATGTGCCAACAATGCTGTTGCACGAGTTGATTCTGGAGGGAATCAATGCATGGATCAGAGTTTCAGCAGCAAGTATGGCGGCTGATGGGCGGAGCTTGGCAATGTTTTTTGTGTTTTTTAGAAGGTTTCGTGATGCATTTTGGACCCACGATCATCATCTCTGATTTATCACAGTTAGTTGAGTAGTGGTGATAATGACTATTTTGGAGACTGTGCATGATATTTTACTAGAGGGAGCAAGAGAATAAACATAAGAGGACCAAGCACCGAACCCTGGGGGACGCCTTGGGACAGACGACATGCTGATGAACTGTCTATTTGTGAAGGGTGTCGAAAGAGCTGCAATGAGGTGGAGGAGAACGTCCATGTGACCAGTCTGAGGAGAGGAGCAAGTAGTTGGTGACTTTGTGGAGGGCTGTTTCAGTGCGGGGCTCTGAGCGGTTCAAGCATTTATGACAGAAAGGGAAGATTGGAGATGGGCCCGGAAGATTTTCAAGGTTTCTGGGTGAAATCCAGGTTTTTTGAGGATCGGAGCGACTTCAGCCTGTTTATGTTAGTGATTACTGCGATGAGGGGCGAGATGATACATGGTCCTTGACCAGATTGGGATAAGATCCAGGATAGAGATGCAGCTTACCATTCCTGTTGTGAAGCTATACCGCTCAGGTCAGTTATTCAGGTTGCTGTAAAAGGTGTGAATTTTCTTTTGGAAAAATTGTTACAACCATTTCTGATGAAAGTTCAATCAGCTATTCTCACAAATCCAGTATAAAGTCTCCATGAACAATGTATTGTAGAGTTATCTGTATTACCAACAGCATGGTTGTTCCTTTTTTATTACAAAGAAATATGTTTTATTTTATTGTAATGTTCTCAGTTGTGGAACAAAAGTAAATGTTTACCCATAGACTCAAAACATTCCCCTTGGTGCTCACAGTGTGAGCAGAAATCTTTCACAATTCGATATTTATGGTGAAGTTCCACATTTTATACTTAATGACATCACACGTTTCAGTTTTTGCACACTGGCCTAAACATTTGTGAGAGAGATGTTCAGTTTTTGGGCTGTCTGTGATCATGAAAACATTTCCGAATTCTTACAATGGGCGTGTAGCAGTATAAAAAAACATATACAATTGTTCAATTTGGCTGATCAAGCTAAATTAATTTGTTCATAAAAGGCTGATAATGAATATATCATGTGTTTTGGATTTTAGGTCCTTGAGAAAGGGTAATCTAATCTAATCCAAAAATAATCTCATTTTCGATTTTAGGGTCTTTATTAGTGTACCTTCCAAATGGGAGAACAGCATGTTTCATTATTTTTGAGGAGTCAAATCAAATTATAGACCTTATTTTCAACATATTTTATTTCTCTAATTTCTCTCACTTTTAAAGGGTAATTGACATTTTCTGTTAAGAGAAAACTAAAGTGTCTTAAAGTATTCTGATCTAATTTTCTGGTCAAACTAAAATGGGGGAGAGAGAGAAAGAGGGAGGGAGAGAAACGCATGACGTCAGAGGTCAGCTGACACGTCTGTTTTGCTCGCTCGAGCTCGTCCTGATAACAACACAGCAAGAAGAAGGAAGCAGCGACACCGTTACTAAATTGGTGTCCTTTACTTAGTTTTTTACCAACAAGCTCCCAGCACAGAAACAGATATTCATCAAATATTTTTATTTTTTATATATATAGTTTACGCTTTGGATCCAGCTGCTACCTTCGTTTTCGTTGACTGCCTACTGGTTGACTTTGATGCAACATGCCTTCAGAAAAAACCTTCAAACAAAGAAGGACCTTCGGTAGGTGACGCCGCAGCCTGTTTGCGTCGCTCCGCGCTCAGCGGCTCGGCTTTGCCTCGTTGACGTTGTGTGTTTTTCGCCGTTTGGTCCTTGCAAAAGAGCCCGCAGCGCAGCTGCTCGCTGTCCGGGGATCAACGCACATAATCGGCTTGTGCTGCTCGCTCGACACGCTAGCCCGCCCGAGCTAACTAGCATCTTCCACCAGGGGATACGACGCAGGAGTTGCGACGAGGGTCGTTTGTTCTCGCTGTTAAAATGACGTGTGTGAGTTCCAGAATGTTGTTGATCAAACTAGGCCGAGGGGCTGCGGGCCCGTCTCTCCCTGAGCGTGTGTGTGTGTGTGTGTGTGTGTGTGTTTGTGTGTGTGTTTGTTTGTTTGCATCACTGCTGCGGGAGAAAAACAAAGTGGTGTCGAAACGCAGGATTGGGGGATGGGGCCGCGGGGGGGGGGGGGGGGGGGGGGGGGGGGTCAAGTGATATAGTTCAGCTTTTGTTTCGGTCTAGTTGAAACTGCCTCGGGGCGAGTTCAGTTCCCTTCCCTTCCCCAGATCCCCGAGCTAAAGACTTTTGCATGCACCGCCTTTCTGGGACAAACCTTGAGGTGCTTTGCTGTAATCAAGTATTACAGGGAATATAAATGGACCCCCCCCTGATTAAATTAGTATAATTCTAAACAACCTTTTCCTAATCTTAAACAAACATAAGGGAGGACCATGACCCTCTGAAAGGTGATGTGATGACTGAAACTAACTTCCTGCTGGAGGTCACGCGCAGCAAACTGTGCCTCCACAGGCAAATTTCCAGTGCTGACTAATTCCAAATGATGAATAATGACAACCCCCCCCCCCCCCCACCAGGCCTTCAAACTGACTTCTTTCTGTTTTTTTTTTTTTTTTAATCTCCACTTGATCTCTTATTTGATTGCTTGAAAACCGATGGGTCAAAGGCCGTTTGTCTCTCGGTCTGATCAACAGAGACACAGTGCCTCCCTGTTCCCGGACGCTGAAGTCATCACCCTGGTTGAACTCCAGTCGGCTGAATTTAGATTAGCCTAATGTTAGTTGGTTTTGGTGGCTTGTCACAAGACTGGAATCTGTTTCACTTCAAAGTGTCAACTCGCCCTGACAGCTGCCTGGGATCTCCCTTCTGATGATCTCCATTCTTGTTATGTAAACAACACATTCTGGTATTGTTTCCTACGCACAACGAGCGGCTCTTCAGGAAAGCTCATTATGTTTCCTCCCAGAGCTCGTTAGTCCACTTAGCCCTGATGTTTATTCCCGGCTCATGGAATGTAAGCGCATTATGATCTTCGTATGAAGAGTTTTAATAGTGCGAGACCACATTGTTTCGTTTACTCAGTAGAAGAAATGCTACGTGACACCTCCATATAGCTCGTCCTAATTTACATTTGAGAGTTTCGGTAAAACCTGCCTGTGGGTTAGTTTATTCAATGACTTTGAGTTTTCTAGTTTTGTTACCTACTTCTCTTTGTGAGTTTGCATGTTTCTGCTTTTGTCTACGACCTCATTTGTGTGTTTATTAGCGCCGGCTGATTCTCCGCGCCCCCCCGGCCCGCTCTTTGTCTGCTTGCACGTCTCCATTAACCCCGGTCTGCTTTTCTGCCCTACAGAGCAGCGGGTGGAAGATGTCAGACTGATCCGAGAGCAGCACCCCAACAAGATACCGGTGAGTTCACCCCCCTCCCCTCTCCACCTCCTCTGTGACCAGCTACGAAGAAACTAAAGCACTTTGATGACACGGCTGCATGGGAAGTGGCGTGTGACCACATCGCGCAGCACACAGGATGAGGAGAGCAAGGCTGACGCCTCTGTTTCCTGGTTGTGCTCTCTGTTGCTTTGATGGTCTTTATTTCTCACAACATCTACAGACGTCGTCTTTATGATCACATTCTTTTTCTTTTCGTAATGACAAAACACAGCGTGACTGCTGGCGCTGCTGAGCCGGGTGTCCAGGAGCTCCCAGCAACCAGCGATAAACCAACACGCAGCTCACGTTTCACTGCTTGTTTCGTTTTGAGATCGAGTATCTCCATCTGCTACCTCTCTGCGTGTGTGTGTGTGTGTGTGTGTGCACACTGGTATAAACTGCCATCTCAAGGGCTGACATAAGAGGCAGACGCCTGTAATGCTGCTGCAGCCCGGGGGAGGAGGAAGAGGGGCAGCGGTGTCTCACTGAACATTGGGCCTCATTCATCAAATGTTCCTAAGAACAAATCTGTGCTCAATCCCCACTTCGGCAGTGTTCACAAAGATTCTGGCATTCACCAATGTTTTCTTATTTGAGAACAGAGTTTACGGACACCCAAGAGCCCTCTTACACACAATTGAGAGCTGACATGTTTGCTGATAACCGTTTTCGTCCGTTCTAATTTAAAATAGAATAATAGAATTATTATATGATTTTTCGTTTTGCGCTTACTTCTTGCAGTAATATCTCTACTATGGAATTACTAGAGTTTTTTTTCTTTTGGAGTAGAGGGCTCCAATGTCTTTCCCACGTCTTTTTGACATTTCTCTGAGTGTGCACACGGCCCTTCCATCTCATGCCCTTTTATGGGCGTTGACCTCTGCTAAATAAGAGCAACGGGCTCGAGCTTTCAATTTCCGATATATTGGGATTCATCATTCTAAGACCGCACCTGCGAACAATTCCTCTGTTTAAGAACACGTCATGAATCTCACATAGGAACTTTCTTAAGAACAAATGTAAGAAATAACTTATATTGGTGCCAGTGGATTCTGGCTCAAATTTGAGATCAGCAATTTATTTATATATTTTTTTCCTCATTAATGTTTTGGGGAAAATTTTTATGCTGATTTGGTGAAACCCTTTTCAGCATAACTATTCAAACAGAAAATAAATACATTCAGCAAGAATGAAAATGAAGTGAAAAGGGTGAGTACGTTACAGAACTGATACGATACGGCAAACAAACCAGCCAGTGCTGATCGCTCTTCTCCATGTCCAAGTTTCTGTCGGGCTGTTTTATTCATATTACAAATCTGTATTTATCTAGTAAGTTTTGTATAACTGTTAAAATTATGTTGGAAAACCGGGGAAGATCTCTGTCTTCTAAAGCCACAAGCCACGTATAGTGTGTGTGTGTGTATATATATGATTGTTTATATATATTTTTTATATATATATATACATAAAATCATTTATGAAAGAGAATTTATATACTGTATAGCTTCTCATAACTTCAGAATTGGTTTCTCATAGAGGGGGGGGGTCAGATCATGGCCCATCAAAGCGAGCTCAGAAGCACACAGTAATCCGTAAGTGAGACATCAGATGCTCCAATAAGTAAATTGACAGTTTTTAATTGTATAATCTCTGAGTCAATCAGAGGATGACTGTGGCTGGTGCAATTTGCTCTTGTCAGCGATGAAGTGGTTCGCCTATTAAAAACACTTCCAAACTTGGAAGATTTAAGCCTAGTTTATGCTTCTGCGTTTTCAGAGCGACGCAGACGCAAGCCCCCCTTGCATGTCCCTTGGGTGCCTTTTCACACCTCCTTGCGTCCTTGCGTGTGTCGAGACATTTTTCTAGGCTTGCGTCGCTTTTGACGCAGCCTCCCGCAGTGCACCAGGCTGCGATTGGTCCGCTAACTACGTCCTTTACGGAGTCTCACATTTCCGCTTTCATAGCCCGATACCACCATTATTAAAACGAAGAATGTTTACGAGAGAACGGAGCAGATTTAAGAACTTCTGTCGGAAGAAATGCGTAAATATGACCGCTTATACAAGCCGTCATTGGCGGGCTATAAGGATGCGCGGATGGCGTCTGATTCATGGAGGGAGATCTCCACAAACGTCGGTTTGACGGTCGAGAGGTGCACAAAGTTGTGGAGGAAAATACGGGACAAACGTGTCCGCGGTGAAAAGCAGCAGTGTTGACGCACGGGGCAATAAAGTCTATGATACATAAATAAACAAACCAACAACTTCCACACACAAAGACGTGACTCTCTAGGTCGTCTTCAACAAAAACACGTTAATCCACCTGTTCTTCTGAAGGTGAATTGCTCTGCAACACACGCAAGACCTTTAGAACCATGAATTGAAACAAGTGCGTTGACGCAACGCCGCAGACGCAGAAGCCTTGCGCCAGCCTTTAATAGTAGCAGCTCCGGTTAATCAATGCTGTTGTAGTGAACATGGACTACAGATCCAGACAATCCAGAAACCGCCCCACAATCCATCTGATCAGGGACTTTGTCTCCCCATCCAGTCGCACTATTGATAATGGGAATTGGTCTCAAAACAGTTTCAACTGTCTGGGTTTGGGATCTGAAAACCACACAGGAAATACTCCCTATTTAGAATCCCAGCTTTTCAGAAGGGGGAGGAGTCATTGATCGACTGTGTGTGTTTGTGTCTCCTCTAGGTGATCATTGAGCGGTATAAAGGAGAAAAGCAGCTTCCCATCCTGGACAAGACCAAGTTCCTGGTGCCGGACCACGTCAACATGAGTGAACTCATCAAGATCATTAGGTAAACCTCAAGTCCCTCTCCCACTGCACATTTCTCCTATGCTCTCTTTTCCTCTCCTTTCCCCTCCTCCTTTCATTACCTCTGGTTTTCTTTCCTCTCCTATTCCCTCTTGTACTTGTACTTGTCCTCTTCTTCCAATTTGTATCCTATTTGTCCTTTTCTTTCCTCGCCTTTTTGTCCTTTCCCTTCCTACCCCCACCCCCTCCTATTTTCTCTCCTCTCCTCTCGTTTGTCTCATTTCCCATCCCCTCCTACCTTTTTACCCCCCCCCCCCCACCCCACCCCCCCGACTCTGCCGTGTCCATGTCTCTCCACCAGGAGGCGCCTCCAGCTGAACTCCAACCAGGCTTTCTTCCTGCTGGCCAACGGACACAGCATGGTGTCCGTGTCGGCTGCCATCTCCGAGGTGTATGAGCGGGAGCGGGACCAAGATGGCTTCCTCTACATGGTGTACGCCTCCCAGGAGACTTTCGGCTCTGACGTGACCGCCCAGTGAACGGCTCCTCTTCTTCTTCCACTTGGCAGGCGATTGAACAATTGTAGTTTTTAGCCCCCCCCCCTCTGTGTCTCCTGCCACAAACCTCTAGTCTTTACTGTAAGAACTAGAACACATAGTGCTTAATCTAAACGCGGCATGCAGTCATTTGCAGCTGGACTCGATTCGGGTTGTGATCCATAGTGCGACCGCAGTGAGCGAGCTACTGTTTGTGTGCGGCCACACTCCCCAAATCATGTTGATCTGCACAATTTGAGTAGAGAAATACCCTAAATGTGTGTCTCTGTTTCCTTTAACGTCCTCTCCAGTGGGTCACGTCCGCTGTCATGGCAACGTACCGCCAGTCGTTTTTCAGCGTTGTAGTCGCGCGCGTCCTCGGCTGTATTTATGTTCATGCACATACACATATCAGGTAGTGCATAAAAGTGTCACAGCTCCACCACTTGTCTATATACTCATTGGCCCATGATCAAAGCCGAGGTAAAGCGTGAGGTTCTTGGAGACGGCACAACAGAAAGACGAGGGTTTGAGGGTCTTTGTGTTTTTATTGGAGCTTTTTATTGCAGTGAGGAGGCGACGCTTCTGAAGTTTTAGTTTGGAGATAAATTCTAAATGAAGTAGAGAAAATCCCTTTTTTAATTTGTTTTTTTATCCCTTCCCGCCATGTATCTTCACTGTAACAGAACTGTGTCGGGTGGGGGGGGGGGCGGGGGATTTGCTTTTGCTCTGGAAACGGATGATTATAGTTTGCAACAAAACAAAATGAAAAAAAGCCTTGGTGTACAGATATTATAAACTTTACAGCTTTGAATATAACGGGGGTTCCATAAGAGTGTAACCAAGTTGACTTTGGACACACTACGGGAGCAGGGTCTGATTGCATGTGCGAATGGAGGATGACAATAAGGGGTTTCTGTAAATTCTGACGAGGGGAAGGGGTGGGTTGTCATTTCCTTTCCAATTTTAAGTTCTTTGTCACAAGTATTTATTAATGTGATGAAGAAATGGAGGGAGGTCAGACAGACAGTGAATCGGGCGCCGGTCAACGAGCGTCGTATCTGGAGGTCCGTCCATCTTGTGTTTCCCAGAGCCGCTGTTCACCATCCAACCAGCGCCTTTGCCGCGGGAAGCGTCCGCCGGTCCTGTGGGGACTGTTACAAGGGCTTCAGGATATATTGACCCCTTTATAGATGGGCCTCTGCACTGTGCTGTGCTTTTATATATTGCGTTATTTCATCATTTTTGGTTCCTTTTCATGCAATGTGCGTTTTATTTCACTGTACAATGTGTCCCTTCTCTTAGCTGTCCGTGTGGTATGTGACGTTTCCCCACCAGTGAAAGCCACTGTGTGCTCGTTAGAGAGGGGTGGAGCGTTTGTTCCCGTGGTCTTTTCTGCCTGCTCCTCGGTTTCACATACACGTATATCCACACACAGCAAAATCACACAGCCTCTTCTTATGTATTTATGTTGGTATTTTGTAAACAATAAAAGAAAAGAAAAAGTTCAGGCTGTTTTTTTTTTTTCAACATTAGAAGCTGTCATGACACTCCAAATATACCAGTCAAAGGTTTGGACACATTTTCTCGGTTAATTCAATGAGAAAGACCGTTCACAGATGCATAATGTATTATGCAAATATCAAAAGCTGAACCCTGATACGAATGTTTAATTTTTTTATATTTCTAAAGTTCCCAATTTAAATGCATTTGCTATCTAGAGATTTTTCTGATATGTTTCTCACTCAATTTTAAATAAGTGGATATACGGTAAGCGACGAATCCCGTAAAAAGCCAGAAAACTACTCCGCTATAAGTTGTAGTAAACCTTGGGGAGCCTGAACACATCTGGTCCACCAGAAGCATCTCCCCTTATCTCTCCTACTTCTTAGTGAAGCTATGAAATCATTCAAAGCCTCTCCAGGGAAGAAACCAGCTCATGTTCTGGATTCAAATCAGACGTTAATCAGGACTTCTGGACAGAAATCCCACACTTGGAGAAAAACTGGATGATTTCTGCCCGTAAAATAATTACTTAAGCGACATGCTGTCATAATTATTGTGGGAAAGATGGGGAGTATGTGAGCAACGAATGTGGTGGTCTGAAAACCTTTGTTTTGCTTTTGAAAGCATAAAAAAATCAACATTTAACACTTAACGTTAGTTTACTAACTGTTCTGGTCTTTTTTATTTTTCCAAGAAAACACCGCTGGAATATGAATCCAGATCAGGAAACCAGGTAGTGAGCGCTTTGTTCATATTCTGATCAAGAACAAAAACAGTCTAATGCACGTAATACTGATAAAACAAATACTTATTTAAAGTGCATTAAACTGTTTTTGTGTTGTCAATCATTTGTAAAGTAATTTTATTATCTTTAAGTTTAGAAATACTTTAAATCTTGATTGACAAAAGCAATAGTATTAGTATATCATTAGGTACCACATACAAACCGAAGCAATTGATTGTCATTCCCTCATCAGTTCAAACTAACTAGGATCAATGTCTCACGTCACAGTTCTGTGTTGCATTTACATTTATTGTTTTTCTTTTCTTTATCATTTAAACTGAATTTTTTCTCCATTTCATCCTAAACATTTGATGCAAAAGGAAATCCTTGAAAACTGATATTTGTTCTATTGAGAATTATGCTAGATGCTGATAACCAAGGTAAGTTCACAATTAATGGTTGTTTTTCGGTTATGTATTTCTTTTTATAAAGAATAGAAAGTTAAACTGGACAAAGGCAAGTTCACATTTGATAACAGCACTTATCATTTATATTATTTCTTCTTATTGTTTTAGTTTGTTGTCTGAACCCGACAGAGAGAGTGTAATAATTACTAACATTTAGAAAAGTCTCCAAGTCTTCTTTAGTACGGTATCGATGGCTGCAAACAGACCTTCAGGATTACACACTGAAACTCAACATACAAGACTACAGGACCAGGTGAGAAGGATGGAGGACTACAGCACCAGGTGAGAAGGAAGGAGGCCTACAAGGCCAGATGAGAAGGTTGGAGGACTACAGGACCAGGTGAGAAGGATGGAGGCCTACAAGGCCAGATGAGAAGGATGGAGGACTACAGGGCCAGGTGAGAAGGATGGAGGCCTACAGGACCAGATGAGAAGGTTGGAGGACTACAGGACCAGGTGAGAAGGATGGAGAAATACAGGACCAGGTGAGAAGGATGGAGGCCTACAGGACCAGGTGAGAAGGATGGAGGAATACAGGACCAGATGAGAAGGATGGAGGACTACAGGACCAGATGAGAAGGATTTAGGCCTACAGGACCAGGTGAGAAGGATGGAGGCCTACAGGACCAGGTGAGAAGGATGGAGGCCTACAGGACCAGGTGAGAAGGATGGAGGCCTACAGGTCCAGATGAGAAGGATGGAGGACTACAGGCCAGGTGAGAAGGATGGAGGACTACAGGACCAGGTGAGAAGGATGGAGGACTACAGGACCAAGTGAGAAGGATGGAGGCCTACAGGACCAGATAGAGAGAGCGTTGTCACCTTTCTTTCGAAAGTTTTCCCCTCAACAAGTTAACAGAAAAAGCTGTGACTTGAGTTAATTTACATTTATCACATGGGGCCGTTGTAAGGTAGCTGTGAAGTATTCACCCGCTGTGTTGGTCTTTCACAGGGCCGGACTCCTCTGTGCTCTAGTTTCACACGCACACTCCTAAATGTCCAATACATAATAGACATAGTAGACAAACTCCACAAATGTCTATATATTAGATATTTTAAACTAAATATTGTTCAAATTACAATCACTGTCTCTACATTTTCATTTGACTCAGCGTATTATTTATGGTGGTCATATTATCACATATTGAAATAGATTCATGTGGGTTCGTGTCATTGTGTAATTCTGTGTAACGTTTTTTCATTTTCACGAGATCTTACCTTTTAAGGCATTGCATTGGAAACATAGACAATGTGGTAAAAGACAGAATCAGAAAATATTTTATTTCTCACCTCTGTTTAAAAACACATTAAGTGATGAAAAAATCTGACCTCCAAATGAACTGTATTCAAACATTTGCACACAAATAATGCCAAAGCACATTTGACTTCAAAAAGGACATACATGCTGAGGATCAGTTGACCCGGCACTTTTTGCACATTCAGACACATGTCTGGTTTCAGGAAACTGCTAAATAAAAAATGTATTTATTGCAGGCCAGCCCTGAAGTTAGCTTTACTCTGGTTACCTGGACAATGCCAGTAGGACTTTTCCAGTCGATTTGGGCTTCTTGCATAAGCTCTGTGGCAAACACAGGCCACGACGTTTACACGTTTTGGTTGGCAAGATCATTTTTTGCAAATGTACACCACCTTTAGGATTTTCTGTTGAATGTAGGATGTTTGGCTATAAACTAACACCATGGTCACATGAGTGGAACATGCAAGACTGTAATGGGTAGACTAGGTAGGATGTTTAGCATCTTACAAGCCATGTTAAAGCTTGAAAACTCCTTACTGGCGTCTAGAATGCTGTAGAACTCTCTCGCTTATTGCTCCGAACAGTAACCCATTCAAAGGAATCCTGAGCCTCAGGGGTTGGAAAATGGTTGAGCGTGAGAGTCTGTGAGGGCTTTAAATGATGTAAATGTGAATGATGCCACATGTCCGTCACCATGACAACGTCCAAAAAGATGATTTACAATTGAGGGTATTTATTTAAGTCTTTACCCTCTAATTTGATTTCAGGCTCTTTATTCATTAAACGAAAAGTAATTTAAAATAATGTTTTTCGTTCTTTTGCTCCAACTGGTTTGATTTTGCATTTATAAATATGGTCTCTTTTAACGTCGTCCAAAGACACATGTGTCATCCTTTTTTTTTCACGTCTCCAAAGCTCTCACAAGTTATCCCGTTTTTAACGTCATTGCCATGACTTGTGGGTAATTCCCTTGGGCAAAGTCACCATCTTACGTAAAAAGCATAAAATGCTCAAAATGTCTGCCAGAGAGCCTGAAGCCCTCGTGGTGTGAAAGAGGAAGAGAACTGAACCCTCACGGCGTCAGCAGGAGCGCGCCTCAAAGTGCGTGAGTCAGTAAGGGTGGAGATTGGGATTGGGCCAAAGGAGCCGTGAGAGCTAAAAATATAGACTCATTTCCAGGTTTATGGACACATTCCTGCACCCTCTTTGTGGGACATCGTTGTCCTTTGCTTTAGCCCCCGTCCCCTGGCAATACTCGACCAAGCCTTCCTAGCTAAGAAGAAGTTAATATGGAGGGACTGTAAGAGTGGAACAGAGACATAACGTTATGGGACTGTTGAGAGCTTGGGATTGGCCACCCTGCGTTTCATGGGCGGAACTTAATTAAGGGTCAGTTTCAATACCATACAAAATGATTAGTGTAACAGACAGAAGTTGTTATACATACTGGCTGTTCAGTATTTTCCATTTCAAATATACATACTGCGTCTCTGGTTTGCCCTGCGGGGGCAGTGTCCTCTTGAGGACGAGCTGTCCTCGTGTCTATAAAACTCTTGGTCCTGCCCAGGGACTCACTGAGTCTTGAACACACGTGAAGCATTTCATTTACTTTGACTATTCCCAACTTCAACTGTGTTTAGCATAAAGACTGTACATAATGCTTTTATATCAAAAAGAGTCAGCTCCACCTCTCTAGGGAGTGACTACAAGTTCAGGATTGACCTCCCATCGATCTTAATTCCCTTGCATTGACAACATGAAAATAAAACAACAACCACCAAACTAAACGGAAAAATAATTGGCACTTTTGAAATGTCGGTGATCCAAAGATCCAAAGTCCTTCTGTACCGACCGGTAGAGTCCCTGAACACGTTTGCCGTTGCATTCTGTTGGTTTTTGGATTGAGGGACCAGTATTTAGCTCAGGAGGCCATTTCCCTGTGCGGTTGGCCCAGAGGCAGAGAGGCTGCAGATCAACCACAGGGGATGGATTCAGGCGTCACAGACGCGAATGAATGAACTGATGAATCCCGCTGATCCCTCAGAAGCTGGAAAGGGAGTCCAGTTTCCAAGTGTGAGCCGAGACTCTTAAACGTATACATCATATGTTGTATGTAACTCGTACTGAAATCCTTAGTGGCGTCGAGTTTTTTCTGTTTGTTCAAAATCTTAGAAATACTTGTGTAGGCACCTGAATGCATCGTCAGCTGTGGTCTCTGTGCTGCTAGACCCTGTGAATCGGGTTCCTTTCAAAACGTCCCCTGACGAGTTTTCTTGTAATCCAACAAAAAGTTCTGTTCACTTCAAGTGTTCCTCACTACTATTTATGCATTGTGTGTACCCACCTAGAAGTAACCTATCATGAATGCTACACTGTCCGTCTTCTTTACCACCGCAAAATATGACTTCATTGAACTCATCAGTAGAGATCTGGAAGTGAAAATCGATTCACGTTGTGAATCCGCTATTAGGAATTTTAGCCATAACATCGGAACCATCCCACATAGAGGGAGACCGACGCTGAGAGAAACAATGGAAGATGCTCCTGGGAATTCTACGAGTCTGTATGATATCAATCGCGTTGGAGGAAACAAGCGTTTTACTTGCAATGACACGTTGGAGTGACAAAGCTCCACGGTCCACTACCACATCTTAACACAGACCAAAATGGCGTCTTGTTTACAAAGAATAGTTCAGCATAACGTTTCTGAAAACATCCAAAGCAGGATTTAAGGCACGCAGTTTAACCTGATCCTTCTTCCATTTAGATCAACAAGAGTTAGTTTAAACATCTTTGGAGCGCTCCCAATGGTTTTATGCTTAAAACTCTTTGTACAAGAGGTTTTACAAAAATAAAAGCCATGAAAAATAAGGTACCACATTTAACCTTAAACTGACTGTTTTTATAATTATAATTTTTGAACCCCTCTTTAAAGAGAATGGATGAGAAAGCAACTAAAAGGTTCCAAATACTAATGGCAAAACCTTAATCTTGAGTAGCAAGCGGACATGAACTCGCCCGGCAGTTGTTTGCTAGGCGGTTGCTTTATAAACCACCTGCAAGACGCTCAATGCCGAATCATTAAGGCAGATTCTGAGACTCTCCGGTTGTGCTGCTGCACCCTGGGTACCATGACAGAAGGAGTTCCACTACGTCTCTGGAGTGAAACAGGGCGGAGCTTACGAAAACCGCGTGCAGAACAGAAGAAGGACAAAAGCGGATAAGACAAAAAAATATGTGAGCTGCTAAAACACTTTGACAGGTCCGCGCCTTCAGATCGTTGTCCCCAGAGGCCGTGTCTTCTATTCTAGAGGAACATGAGACACAGTCGAGAGTACGACGGCTCAAATCCGCTGGTGTCTCCGCTGGTTAGTCCCCCAAGTCCTTGCTGTCCGATTGAGGAGTGTACTTGAGTCGAAAGGACCCTGTGGAAGACAACAGAGAGACGCTGGAGTGTTGAAGCTTTGGCAACGTCTTTGCTTGATAAAGAACAGGAGGACTGGGACTAATGATTCGTTTTGCATCGGCGATTAATCTGTCAATTATTTTATGTATTCGGATCAGTTTGTAGTTTCTTTTCAGAAAATAGTGATACATTTCAATCGCTATTTGCCACAACTAATTGAGTAGTGGTTGCAGCTCGAAAAATCAAAAAAGTGGATAGATTATTGGTTGCCATCACTTATACAATAAGATGTTGATGATCCATTGTTTCAAATTCTCTGCCCCAAATTACAAGTTAAAAATCACCATTGTGCCTAATGAAATAATTATATCAATGATAACTTTCACCTTCAGACAAACGGTTGCAGTCTGACTAGTAGTGTCATTTTTTGATTTTTTGTATGTTATTACTAAGATTAACACTTTCTTTGATTTCCAATCATACAAGTGAGAATGTAAGTAGCCGCCATGTCGTGGCGCTTTGGTGGATTTGTCCGGCGCTCACCTTGATGTGCCGAGTCCATCGCCGGCTGCTTGCACTCCTCGGCTCGGTGTCCTTGGCCGCCGCAGTTGTAACATGACACGCTACTACCCAGGGCCCGTTTCTGGCCAATATTTCCCATGATGCCGTGAGGCTGGTAGAAGGCGAAGCTCTGCTGCTGGTCGTGTGACACAGGGCTGTGGCGGTAAAGGGGCGGAGGCACCATCATTGGGTAGGAGAAGGGCGGCGCGGCACTCCCGGCGCCGCTGGACGAGGCGATCAGGGGACTGAGGTGGAGCAGAGGACCCAGGGTGAAGAGCGAGGGGCCGGCCGAGAACGGCGGCAGGTAGCCGGCCGCCGCGTACCCGGGCAACGCCCCGTAAGCACCACAGTTACCCCGACAACGGCAGGTCCTGCAAACACACGTGGAGGGGGTGCGGCCTGAGCTCTGATCTAGAGACGAGCCAGTGCATGGCGAAGCGGGGGGACTGGAGAGAGGACAGGCCGGGAAATATGTGTTGCCTGGCACCGCGGCCACAGGAACGCTGCTTGCGGTTGCCATGGGAACAAAGCCGCCGCCAGCGCCACTACTGCCGGAACCACCGGATTTGGTGGCGGGACAGGACGAGGAGAAAGACGCAGGTGAGCAGGAGTAGTATCCTGATGGAGAAAGGGGGGAGGAGGACGAGAGGTGGAACTGCAGCGGGGGGTGAGAGACGTGGTGCAGGCTGTTGGAGGTGGAGGTTAAAGCAGAACTGGTTTCCACCATCAGACCCGCGGCACCTCCAGCCAGGCCGCGGCAAACCAGCGTGTCCTGCGGCGCTGGGGAGGCATCCACGTTCAGCCCAGGGAACAGGTTCTCCAGCCTCACCCCCACCCCCCCACCGAGCCCCGACAGGAAGCCGGCACCGCCAGCAGGCGGGCCCGAGCCCGGCGCCTGAGTCCTGTCCTCCGAGCAGAACGGAAGGGGCCGGGGCTTACGGGGGGAACTCAGGATAAGTGCCGGGTTCGAGACTGGGGAGAGCAGAGTCTGGGGGTAACCGGCCTGCGGGTGGTAAGGGGGCTGCTGGAGGCCGAGGGGGAGGCGGGAGGAGCAGTAGGGAGGGTGAAGAGGAGCCGGGTCGGTTTGCACGGGCAGGACCTGGGCCGTGGGGCGACTGGAGCCTGCGGGGCAGCTGGAGTTCAGGACGAATAGGCAGGACCGGTCCTTCTCTGGACCCCCCGATGCTAAGTCCAGACCTGACACACCTGGAACCAGGTACACAGTGGTACGTTTGAACATTTCAATATAAAACATTAAAAATTCTCACGGTGTTCAATGTTCTCATTGATTGATTGTTTGAACGATGATTTGGACACATGATTATGACACTGGCACTGTACGACTAGCACTGTAGGAATGTAAAGATGGAGAAACAATTGATCATCCTCTATGTTGAATCTTTCAACCTGAATTTTGCTGTCCGAATTCCTCACGTTCAAAATGAGCAGCTTGATTCTTTCCAATTTAATTTTGATTTGAACTATTCTGACGTTTTTTAAACTAGCTGAACTTTTTCAGTGAACTTGATTTCAGAATTTGTACCTAAAACTTCACACACACAATATTTCACAATATGAAATTACCCAACTTCCGGAGAAAGTTTTTGAAGTCTGAAATTCCCCCTCTTATTCAACAGAAGGGGGAAATACTGCTTAGTTGCCTCAAATCTATCAAGCATTCCAGTTGTTGTTTCCTCTATGATAATTAAAAAACTTACGCCTGTGAATGTCTCTGGTCCTGTCGAAGGTGGAGTCCCAGCAGAGGGGCCCCCAGGCGGAGCACGGAGAGCTGGAGAAGCCCGAAGACGAGTTGCTGTCTGCTGAGACGGGGTGATGGTGCGACATGGCGTCCGCCTCCACCCGCGGCTCTCCTGAAACACGTTTCAATACAGTCACATTTCAGGATGTTTCAACCTCCTCTTTTTGGAACATTGTGAGCTTGTGTGTATAAAGGCAGATAGCCCGAGACCAACCGGCTGCTTCACCTGCTGTGGAGGTGCCATGTGTCGAGGAACCCACGTGGCTGGAGGGCGTCACCCTGGCGATGCCGCTGCAGGGCCGCTTCTCCATGTGCATCTCCCTGTAGGAGGAACGCACACAGGCAGAGAGGTATGATGGATCCTGTTTCTACTCAGAAGCCTATTGTCATCATAAATGAGATGAGAGGTTTTTAAAGGGCTGTTCATGTGATGGATGGAGCATTTCTTTTAGACTGGGACAGGTTCATGTAGGTAACCTAAAGCCTCTCAGTTTTATGTCAAAGGGATGACAGCAGCTTGATTTCACTCTTCACCACCAGGGGGAGACACTATCCACTCCATGCGCTTCTCAGCATCTCAACTGTTACTCTGCAAATACATATGCAAACCTGGAGGACGGAAAAAAAAACACTGCAACACCTTTCCATCTTTACACACACACAGAATGGAAACCTGTTGATTCTAGAGATGGAAACACGTTCAAGAGATGATCAAAGCAGGTTCACATGGGAAAAACCCAGGTGTGTGCCGGATGTGTCCGTGTGAGAGGGTCGGGGACTGCGGACGCATTTGCATCCCAGTCAATGTTTTTGTGGCTTTGGGTTTCTGTTGGTTATCTTCTCTTGAGTATATCTAATCTCTCCGGCCCACTTACTGCTGGTTAACCATTGACGCCTTATGGACCGCTACTGCTGTGCGCTCGCCTTCGAAATAAGCGGCCGATTGGTCCGTCTGTTAATAGTTACACAGATAAAGCAGCTGCTAACTTCCCCATGCATCGCCTCAAAGATCGGCGATGCAAAAACTGGTTGAAATCACACCACCAGTAGTGTCCCCTCACACGACAGGAGAGATGCTGATACATTTAGTCAATGGACTGGTTTGAGGAGAGCAGAGACAATGGTTTCGGCTCCCCATCAGAAAGGGTCTGACAGTATAGCGTGCACTAGAATACCAACAGCTCACTCTACTGACTTTTGTAGCTCAAGTTGAGTCTTCTGCAGCTCCAGCTGAGTCCTGAGTTTCTTCTTTGCTCCTTGGGTCAGGTCGTACTTGTTCAGGTCCTCCTCCGTCAGCGCCAAGAACTGAAGGAGACAACAGGACAAAAACACACACAGGTTTAAGAAAAGCGGACATGCCGGTTCCTGGAGCTTGAAATACCGATCTATGTGAGAGCGATTGAGCGCACTCGCCGTTTCCTGTAAAATACAGTGAATAAAGAAATGACAAGCCAGCATCTAGAGCCCACCCACCTCCTCCATGGTGAGCTGCTTGAAGACGGGGTAATACTTGTGGAGCCGAAGTCTGCGCAGCCAGTCCAGGATGCCGTTCTGCTCGGCGGCATTGGGCTGGGACGGGCACGCTGCCTGTGAGTGGGACTGGGAACGAGACAGGGAATGGGACTGGGGGTACGAGAGGGACTGGCAGTGTGAGTGGGACGTCGGCTGGGAATGGGAAGCGTGGGCCTGACCGCCGGTTTGAGGATGAAGGGGGGGCAGGGAGTATGAGTGGGGCTGACTGTGTTGGGGATACGGCTGGATGGAGGGGGGGTCGCATCCGCCAGCCAAGGAGCACTGTGCTATCACAGGGTGAGTCAGGGGGGACAGCTGGACAGGCGGAACGGGGGGAGGAAGAGGAGGAGGAGGGAGGGACGAGAGGTGAGGAGAGGGGCGGATCGAGACAGAGCTGTGGGTGCTGACCACGGGCTGGACGCTCGCCAATGGGTAGACCGCCCTGAGAGAGGACATACAGTCAGAGGACGCCATGGGGACGGTGCTGGTGATGAAGAGGATTATGGTCGTGATGGAATGACCGATAGACAAAGAGAGAAGGAAAACTCACCTGTTGGCTCCCCGGTGCTGAACCGTACAGTCGAGATCTGAGAGACACAGAGAAAACTAAATGAACTCCATCCCCGTAAAATAAAACCACCTGAGTGAAACCCGGAAGCTGCTGGTGTGACAGAAATCAGTCGATGGCGATGCGGTTCCCAGTGACTTAATTGGAGAATCATGACTAGTATCTGTGATCCGCACAGGTTTACCCCTCACGGTTCGGCATGCTTGTGGACATTTTAATTAGTTACACAGTTAAACATTAACCATCGCAGAGTGAAATAACGTATTATTGGCTAGTATTCAGTAAAACAGCGAGACATGTCGTAATGCTACTTGCTAGTTGGCATATTTGAGCTCATCGTATACGTAGCAGCATTGTTGGGAAACACAAACAAACAGAACTGTTATAAACAAACAAATTATGTTTTTCTGAAATACACATTACACAGTGCTTTTATTATTTTAATATTGTTGGTTTTGATCTTTGCGCCTGTTGGCCTTTTGATGTAAAAGAAGACTTTTAATATCTGCTATATGTCACGTCCGAATAGAAGGTATAATCAGTTATTATTTCTGCCATGATTGAGACCGTACAAGGTCGGAATAAAAGAAAACCAATTGATCTTTTAATCACCTACCATGTATAATAGTGTAAACACAGTACACCAGTAATTGAGCTATTCCTAGATCCTGACATTCATGTGCCGCACCCACGCTTTAATTGCATATGCATTATCAAAAGCTGGCAGGCTTTGTCAATACTGCAAAAGTACAAGCATACATACTACACAGATGGTTATAAACACTCCCTGGGATGAAGTCACACTCATAGAATCAAACATACACGCGCTCACATCAACATTACGTCACCACATGGCCGGCGTCCCAACACAAACATGCCGCGCTGAATTCCCACACAAGACTAAAATAGAGTCCGTCCTCTCCCCTCCAACACCTCCAAATAACTAAAGGAAAATCCTGCTTGCAGTCTCACCTCTCTCACCTCTACACTGCTACCCAGCAAGACGCCTACAACCCCCCCTCCCTCCCCACTCCCCCGCTTTGTTCTTTCCTTTCCTCCCCTTTTCACGTCCCTCTCGCTCTCATACAACACAGAGACCCAAACATGAAGTCCTTCATGTCCCTTCCGGCACCTTCTGTCTCTGCGTCTAAGAATAGGGATCCCCGTCTTAATATCCCTGCTGCCCTCTTTGGAGACTTACTGGCTTTAAGGGCACATTCACAGCCACGCATTCATGACATTTTCAGGATTAAACCTTTCTCAAGTTATCCGCTGCATGTCATCTATTTCGCTGCCTGAAAAAAGAAGAGGAAAGATCCAAATATTGAAGGAGAGAGATATTATTGGCAATAAAACACAACTCACTGGACCTGGGGGTGAACGGACAGGTCTGGGGTTCAGGAGCCGTAGGCAGGGAGGACGGGGAGGCAGGACAGTTGGGGGACAGAGGCCTGGCAGAGGTGAAGAACAGCTGGACGCTGTGGTGCTGGAGGACGTGACAGGGCAGCGCTGTCAGACAGCTGCAGGGAGAGAGACACAGAGTCAGGAGGACAAAGGGAGGCCAAAGATGAACTTCAGCAAACTAACATAGATGTACACCGGCCAGGGTTTCAAACATTCAATAACTCAAAAACTTTGCAAATGCTTTACATAGCAAACTGTTGACTGGAATACAACTCTCCCTAGTCCGAGTGAAATAACACACTTTAAAAATTGGAAGAGAGGGTTGGAGGAACAAGGGACTAACCTGGGGTTCAGCTCCATGGACTCAGTGAAGACTTCCTCCACTGCGACATCAGGAAATGCTTCAGACAGCTTAGAGGCACAAGAGATTCATCGGCTTGCAGCTTGAGGCCTGAGATTATAATCATCAGACTGCATTTCAGTGGCAGTACTGACCTGGGTGAGCAGCGCCGCCACCTCCTGCCGAGTCCGAACCACGGATGACACGTAACCATCGGACCAGCTGGCCTGGAGGAGAGAGGACGAAGAGAGGAAAGGACAAGGGGGGGGAGAGGTGGAGGTGATGGAGTAAAGGAGGAAGAAAACTGGGTGAAAAGCAAAAGGGCAGCGACGTGAAAAGATGAAGTGAAGGCATTTGGGGAAAGCGAGGGGGCGCCTGCGTTGAGAGCGGACCCACCTCCAGCACGTATTCAGTGGCGTCTTGGGACGCGTGGCTCACTCCTCTCAGCTCCACCCTCTCGATCAGCGCTGAAAGAGGCCCAGATCGTTTCGGCCATTTAGAGTTGATTAGGTGGCCAGAAGGGATTTAAACCTGGGCAGCTGACGAGTAACAAATGACCAGGGAACGAAACCACATCGCATTTCAATCGATTTATGATGACAATGTGAAATGCGTGGGTTTAAGTCTCCTAACTCCTATCAAAGTACACGATGGTCCATACTCATCATCACTCGTTTACAATTCATTTAAGGCTGCAAATTTGTCGCAGATGTCTAAAGCAGAGTTCCAATCTCCTGAAGAGGGTTTGCATGAGACACACATACACAATTAGTGTTGCACCCACAGTGCAGCAGAACCAGCATGGGAGCAAAGTGAGAAGTACCGAAGAAAAGTACTTACAATAATTCTCACACTAAAGGGAAGGAGAAGACGACAACACGCACGTGCACACACGCGCACACTCCTGCACTTCATAAAGTGTGTGTGCATGTGTGTGGCAGCCTAGATTAGCGTGAATGGCAGGCGGCATTTAGAGCCTACCACAGCTGTTGCCCAACAGTAATGTGTGTGTGTGCATCAAGTCATCAAAAGAAAGTTCAATCATCTCCTGCGATGATAACATTGTCCCTCATGTTGCCATGTATTGTTATTGACATTACAACTACGGTCATGTGTGTGTGTGTGTGTGTGTGTGCCAGAGAAACACGTCGTAAACACGAGGCGTGGCTCTTTCTGCCTGGTCCGAGGTGGCCAAAACACCCACAGGGAAAATGGTAAGTCATACAAACTTAACCTTTACTGAGTGTGTGTGCATGCTGAGCATGTGTGCGTGTGTGTGTGTGTGTGTGCGTGCATAAGTGATTTGTGCTGGTGACAGCTATGTGATGGTGTGCGACTATGAGGACGTGAGGTAGTTAAGTATTGTGTTACAGAAAGGAGGCAGGGCGACCAAGACAATAGCAGACTGGAGAGACTCGACTGAAAACCACATGGTGTTCGACCGGCTGGCCCCCTCCTGATCGCTGGGCTTCAAATGAACGATAATGGAAAATAGCCGGGCTTATCAAGTGGTCCCGCAAAGACTGACAGCTCACTTTGAGGGGACGGTGACTTAGCATTTATTACTTTTGACTGGTACTGTATATATATAAATGTATTCATAAAGGTGTTTCGTTATCCCTGCAGTGGTGGACAGGCCTGTCCGGGTCATCCATTATGGATGTTAATTGGTTCAGTGTCTCTCCGGACTGTCCAGTTGGAAGCCGATGGTAGAGCCGGCCTTCTTAACCAGTTAGTTAAGTCTGCTGGTGTCTGCAGCCTCGATGCTGCTCCACCACCACACTGCGGAGAAGGACACAAAACACACTGGAACGTCTCCAACGTCCTGCTGCACGAGGTTGATGGATCCAAGCTCCCTCAAAAAATTCACAGCTCGCCCCCATTTTCCAAGCCAGCGGTGACGTCGGTCTTCCAGTTCAGTCTGCTGTCGGTATGTATACGGCTGTCGGCTTGTATACTGATCCACCACGTTCACGTCCTCTCCCACCACGCCAGCTCTCAACATGGCTGAGCCGCTCGCACCCGGCTAAGGGGACAACAGTGTCGACTATAGAAAAGTTCTGACGGGCCAACAGTGTTCACTGGACAGTGACACTCTTTACCAACGCCGTTTTTGTAAGCTGTAAACTGATGGACCTGCTTCGAGCCTGCTGTTCAACGTCAGCAGCTAAAGATCAACAAGTGGTTTGAGACCTGTTCTCCTTCTGTTTGGACCACAAACTGAAACACGCCTCCAAAGCAAAGCTAATGTTGCTCCATGTCTGCTGCTTGTGCAGACATGGAGCAACATTGAAACTAAATGAAAGAAAGGAGGCAAAAAATGTGTTTAATTATTATTAGTTACATGTAGGGATGTAGAATGTAACAGGTTAATAGGTTGATGTAGTGCTTGAATCAAAAGGAATTGGTGATAGAGACGGTTTGGTGATGACCACACGCACGCACACACACACACACACACACACACACACACACACACACACACACACACACACACCTCAGCCTCAGGGCAGCATTCTTTTACTTTTAGTGTTTCATGTCTCAGCGTGCCAGATCTTGTTCACTTGGGCCCCGCTGGTTGTATAACTTTCTACATGCACTTTATGTCAGCGCGCACAGACGGAGGATGGAAGTGAGCTCATACGCATGCACACGGACACAGCAAGTCAGACACAGAGACAATTAGATGGAGGAAAAAGTAGAAACTACTTTTGGTGCGGTTCTTGGCCGGTGCTGCTGCGTCCTGGACGTGTCCAGCAGGAAGAGGAGGAGGAGGTGGCGCTGGTGGAAGAAGGGGAGGGGCGGGGAGGTCCTGGCTGACTGCTCGGCCTCGTCGTCCCGTGGTCTCCCCTGAGGCAGTGCCGGCCTGTCTAGTCTGGCTCTGGGGAGCAGGGGATGAGAGGCCATTCGGTTAAAGAGAGGTTGCAACCACAGGGCGGAGGTCAAGCAGACGCGGTGCAGCGCGGCGTTAACTCCTTCGCCTCTTCGGCTCGTGTGTGGATCGAATACAACGCTGTCCTCGAGTACGCACGTTTTTGCTCATCGAAAGCACGATTCTGCGTGTTGTCACAGCTTGAAACAAAGTGGAGCAACGCTCTCTCCGGGTTTGGCACAGCGCTGAGACAAACCAATACTTGGGGCGCTCTTATTTATAGCAACGTCATCCTGGAGCACTTTTAGGGAAAAACACAGACTTGGAGCCCCCTTTTTTTAATGTTGGACCAACTGATGATCAGATTTAAACTGGGATGGATGCGCTTTGCTCAAGAACACGTCAGAAACAGACAGAAACAGAGCTGAGCAGAGGAACTGCTTTTGACTTGCTGATTGATGGAAAATACCTGCCATGCACTAATACAGAACCATGTGTTTATGTATATTTATATCCAAATACATACAGATTGAATTTCGGATCACTTGCTGAAGAAAAACCACCTGATCAACCCACATGTGAACTCAACATGTGGCATTGCCTGCTGCAACCGAACACACGCGCAGTGTAAATCTGAAAACAATTAAGGGTGCTACTCCCCCATTGGCGGGCTGCTCTCCCGATCTGCCGGCCCCCCCGGGCCCTCTGCACGCTGTCGGTGAGCGAGGGAGGGAAACTGACCTCCCGTGCCAGATAACCGGAGAGCATGGGAATCTCCCCGAGAGCTGGCAGTGGCACGTTGTTGCAGTTTTTTTTTAAAACAACTGAAAACTATTAAAGATGGACTGTGCTAACTCCTCCTCCTGCTCCTCCTACAACAGTCAGCTGAACTTTTGTTCGACACTGTTTTTATGGGTATATAAAGCAGTGGTACAATAGGGTGATTATGCAGGTTTGTGCAGGCCCGACAGATGTCCTCAAATGCACTCGACTGAGTATTTATGTTTGGTGCTACTTTAAACATTCACTTAACTACAGTTCGGAGGATATATAATACTCTGCTGTGTTTTATCTTACAGCTGCTGCCCAATATAGAAAACCCAATGAGTTGTAAAACAATAACCTGATAGAACCCCAAACTAGATCCATCACAAAAGAAATGCAAACGACTTGGTTATTCCAGGAGGAGTATAATAATGAATTAATCATTTTTCTTTTAAAGCTCAATTCCATGCAAGCGGAACTTAAATTGGCATTGTGTTAGTTCCACTACGCACGGTCTCCTTTGCATCCAACATACTTTCCACTTGTTGGCCGCATGGCCAAAGATGATGATGGTTCAGTTCACTTTGGCGAACTTCACATCCAAACTATTACATTACATTACATGTCATTTAGCGGACGCTTCTATCCAAAGCGACGTACAATAAGTGCATTCAACCATAGGGTACAAACTCAGGAGAACAAGAAACAAGAAAGTGCAATTTCCTCAAATAAGCCAATTTACAATTTGCTATAGATGAGTGACGTTACAGTACAATTTAAGTGCTACAATTTGTTAGTCTTTAGTCGAGGTAGAGTCTGAAGAGGTGTGTCTTTAGTTTGCGGCGGAAGATGTGAAGGCTCTCTGCGGTCCTGGTGTCTTCAGAGAGCTCGTTCCACCATTTCGGCGCAAGGACAGCAAAGAGTCGAGATCTAGTTGAGTATTTTGCTCTCAGTGAGGGAGGGACGAGTAGTTTTGCAGATGCAGAGCGGAGAGTGCGGGTTGGGATGTAGGGTTTGACCATGTCCTGGATGTAAGCTGTACCCGATCCATTTACAGCATGGTACGTGAGCACCAATGTTTTGAACTGGATGCGGGCGGCCACCGGTAGCCAGTGAAGAGAGCGGAGGAGTGGAGTAGTGTGGGAGAATTTCGGAAGGTTGAAGACCAGTCGAGCTGCTGCATTCTGAATGAGCTGCAGAGGTCGAATGGCGGTGGCAGGGAGACCAGCCAGGAGGGAGTTGCAGTAGTCCAGGCGGGAGATGACAAGAGCCTGAATCAGTACCTGCGCTGCCTTCTGAGTGAGAAGGGGACGTATTCTCCTGATGTTGTAGAGCGTGTATCTACAGGATCGCGTTGTCGCGGTGATGTTGGGAGTCAGGGAGAGTTGGCTGTCGAGTGTGACGCCGAGGTTCTTAGCAGTCAAAGTGGGCGTTAGTACGGAGTTTCCAAAGTTGACTGTCAGGTCCTGGGTAAGCAAATCTTTTCCGGGAAAGAGAAGTAGTTCAGTCTTGTCGGGGTTGATTTTCAGATGGTGGGCGGACATCCACTGAGAGATGTCAGTTAGACAGGCAGAGGTCCGAGCCGCCACCTGGGTGTCCGAGTGAGGGAAGGAGAGAATTAGTTGGGTGTCATCGGCATAGCTGTGGTAAGAGAAGCCATGCGAGCGAATGACAGCGCCAAGAGAGTTGGTGTAAAGCGAGAACAGGAGGGGACCCAGCACGGAACCCTGAGGAACTCCAGTAGTAAGAGGACAAGGCTCCGACACAGATCCTCGCCAGGTTACCCGGTAGGTGCGGCCGTCGAGGTAGGACGAGAGAAGGAAGAGAGCAGAGCCTGTGACACCAAGTTCCTGAAGGGAGGAAATAAGGATCTGGTGGTTGACCGTGTCAAATGAAGCAGAGAGGTCCAGAAGGATGAGGACAGAGGAGAGAGCGGCGGCTCTAGCAGTGTGGAGTTGCTCTGAGACAGCAAGGAGAGCAGTCTCTGTGGAGTGGCCTGCCTTGAAACCTGACTGGTGGGGGTCAAGGAGGTTGTTACAGTGGAGATTGGAGGAGAGTTGATTAAAGATAGCACGTTCAATGGTTTTGGACAAAAAGGGAAGAAGAGAGACCGGTGTGTAGTTGTTTTCTTCAGAAGGGTTGAGGGTAGGTTTCTTCAGGAGGGGGTTGACTCTTGCCTCCTTCAGAGAATTGGGAAAACAGCCAGATAACAGAGCGTTGTTGATGAGACAGGTGAGGAACGGAAGAAGGTCAGGTGCGATAGATTGTAGGAGATGTGATGGAATGGGGTCAAGAGGGCAGGTGGTCGGACGGGCAGAGGTTACTGGGGTAAGTATTTGGTTAGGAGAGAGGGCGGTGAAAGAGGAAAGTGAGGGCGAAAGAGGTGAGGTCGGTGCGACGCGAGAAGTAGGAGGTGGGTTTGAGAAGGAGGAGCGTATGTCAGCTATTTTCTTGGTGAAGTAGTTGACAAAGTCTCCCGGAAGAAGGGGGGAGGGGGGAGGAGGGGTAGGGGGTTCGAGGAGATTGGAGAAGATCGAGAAGAGTTTTTTGGGGTTAGAAAGAGCTTTTGGCAGATTCAATTTTGGATTGGTAGAAAGAGCTTTTGGCAGCAGAGATAGAAGCAGAAAACGAGGAGAGGAGAGATTTAAATTTAAGCAGGTCGTCAGGTCGTTTATATTTACGCCATCTCACGCACCGGTTGAGAGCCACGGAGCCGGAGGGGATTTGCCAGTCCGTCGTGTCGTAAGAGGGCAGAGAGAGTCTAGAGAGGAGGAAAGAGTTGAGAGGAGAGTCTCTGCAGCAGCGTTCGGATGCAAGAGTGAGAAGGAATCAGTTGAAGGGAGAGCTGATAGAACAGAGGATGCCAGCGAGGAGGGAGAGAGGGAGCGAATATTGCGCCGAGCCGGTATAGAGTTAGTCAATGAGGGAGGTTTGTTAGTTATAGAGAGTGGAAGGGAGTAAGAGATGAAGAAGTGATCAGACACATGAAGTGGAGTTACAGAGAGGTTAGTGGTAGAGCAGTTTCTAGCAAAGATGTAGTCAAGGTGATTGCCGGCTTTGTGAGTAGGAGGAGAGGGACTGAGTGACAGAGCGAAGGAAGAAAATAGGTGTAAGAGGTCAGATGACTTCTCTGTCTGGATGTTGAAGTCGCCCAGGAGGATGAGCGGAGGTCCATTTTCGGGGAAATTAGACAGGAGAATGTCCAGTTCTTCCAAGAAATGACCTAAGGAGCCTGGCGGACGGTAGAGGACAACGATGGTTAATTGTACCGGGTGAGTGAAATTAACTTTCCTGCAGTCAAAGAGTGAGTTTACTAAAAGTTAGGTTCACTGATGAGTTGCCCACTCAGAGGGCAGTGGAACAAGTCTCATGAGTAGGTTGTAATAACTGCCTACTCATTCAGACACAGGAAAACCATCCCATTCATCTGCAGCCACAATTATTTCCTTAATGCTGAACACTCAAAACAGTCCGGTACTCAAATATCTGACTGATTGGCTGTTAAATACTTCCTCAGCTAGTCGCTGACTCAGTCTGTGTGTCATTCAGCGTCGGGCAGTGGGTTTATCCGAGCTTCTTTCCACTTGAAGATGACTCTGATGAGCGCTGTGACAGTGAGCCAACAAAGTGAGGTTGTGAAAGCAAAAAGATGCTATGAGTGAACCCGTGCACATTATACGTAAACATTCAAGTTGATGTTGGCAGTAATAGCAAGTACGATATATGCATATAGTATATGTATCAGCAGGAGGTGACAGTAGACCTGACTAGAAGAAAAGCTGTAGATGACATATGTAACTGCTCAGGTTTACAATGAAACTCTGTGAAAGCCTTTAGAGCCCCGAAGGAAGTAAGGAAAGAGAGCTACAGAAAGAGAGAGAGAGTGAGAGAGAGTTACACACACAGCGCGCGAGAGAGTGAGCGCATTTATAACTTCCTGGGGATTCATTGGAGACACACACACACACACACACCACAGAGGGTTGATTTCAACATGGAGAAATGTGCTGACCTGCACTAAGCAGAAGCCAAGGGAAACAAAACACTAAATGGAAACACTCCGCTCGTAGCCGGGTACTTTCCCGTCGCTGCTCCCACGCGTTTAAACAGTGTTGCTGGCTGCTTCCCAGTGCTCCTCCACGTCTGTGTGAATGAAGAGGCGAACGCGACGTTGCTTTTTAATCGTCTCTCACAGCGATGGATGAGATGGAGATGAGTCTCTAACTCTCCCACGATTCATTGTCTGTAGAGCCGTCTGCTCTGGGCAAGTTTATCCCAGACGTGATGGTAACAGAGGTTTGATGAGCCACATCATTGGGAAATCCCCCCCGGCCCTAATCTCCATCTTTCATCACAACTCATCCAGCAGAGTTTGTTTTGTTTGCCTTTATTATAAATATTTGGACTTGTATTGTTAGTAAACTCCTAGGAATCATTTATCCCAGAAGGTTAAGTAGTCCTATCTTGACCACATATCTTGTGGTAACTTTGCATATCTTGTTTTTCTTACTGTTATGATGCTGTTCACTCTGGAGCCGGGGAATGAAAAGCATGCAACCCAACACATGTGGTGTGTGTTAGCTCTACACTGGCAACACCGAGCCAACAAGACGTCACTTCTTTTATCTGTAATAAAGAAGAATAAATCCAATGGACCAGACGGGGCCTTGCAGAAGTAGCTCCCAGTCAAGGACATTAATTAGCTCCTAATCATCTATAATAAACCCGTCAAATCTTGTTGTGCACATAACCCGCAAACGCATATGCAGACTGTTCGACCCAAATGACTGTCCCTGATGTACAGCCTAAAAACAATAGCCAAATAGTCGGAATAGAAATAGAGGGTGTGGTATATTAAGTGTCATTATGCTCTCTGACATCCAAACCCATGGAGTTCTACTAAAATATCTTCCAATCCTTGGAGTGACACACACACACACACACACACACACACACACACACACACACACGAGCAGGAGTGAAACTATCTTTCAAGGTAAAACAGAGCAAAGAAGTTGATATACACGCGGTCATTACAGAGGGTGAAGTTTTTTTTTTAAAAGAGGGAAATATTCTTCTACAGAAAATCCAATTGATGCCTGGCTGTTGCCGTGCGGCACGACGTAAACACGCAGCTCCACAAATCTGCAGCCGGTGACAGATGGTGTGGGTTTCTGTTTGAATGAATAATAGAACGCAGATGAAACTACTCACATGACTGCGTTGATCAGCTGTAGTACTATACTGCTTTTCCTTATCCTTTTTTCATAAATGACCATTTCGCAACAAAATAGGCAAAGACATGAGGTCGCCGCGAGACGCCACTACATTTCTAGCCCCACTCGACCCTGGTGGCATTGCTCCCTACCTTGCGCCAGCAGGTGCACTGTGTGTGGCAGGCTTGGGAGCAGGCAGCGGGGGACAACGAGGCCAGCGGCAGGGACACAGTGTGATGGTGATAGTGGTGATGTGGCTGAGAGGGATGGGCCGCGGATTGATCCGCTCCTCCTCCAGTCTCTCCTCCTCCTCCTCCTCCTCCTCCCTTGCATACCTGCAAAATCAACAGTAAGATGCAAACGTGACACACAGCCAGAGGAAAATATGTCATCTCATTTTAACACCCTCCAGTTGTTAATGTGGGGAAATGCAGCTGAATTAGCTGGTGACAGCATGGATTTCACAGATTGCCCCCTTACGCTTACGCGGGTAGGAGACATTGAAGAGACCCGCCAGAGTACCCTGCTTTTCAAAATTGGTACCAACCAAAAAACCTGGCCCAGTGTTGTCAACTCTCTTCAAATAAAAGTAGCCAGCAGCACCATCTCCAAAAGTTGCTAATCTTGCAAGAGAGTCGCCAAGATGCCAACAGTCTTCCAAAGACACTCCTCCAAAATGATCCCAATGAACACGTGTTCCAAGGGGCATAACCACGCATTCTTTGGGGTGGTCGTGTCCCCCCAATATTGATAAAATACCAATCTGCCCCCCCAAATATACAGCAGAAAATATGTAAAATAGATATTCTGCTTTTATGAACCCTTTCAATGGATTGGCCTCTTGTTATGTCTTATTTATTTTCAATTTATTTCTGTTTGTTAAGAAACAAACAAAAAAAAGTGTGTGAATCCCCCCTCCTAATTGTACACTTGCGCCTCCTTCTGCGTTGTCATGGTTACCTATGACTTTTTCGTCAGTCAGTTGAGAGCAAAGAAAGCAACGTTAGTTAACTTGTTGGAGTAATGGAGGATTTGAGGTTAGCGAAAAAGCAGAGAAAACTGGACCAGCAGAGCTTTTTTGTGTAAGCAAATAAAAGTAGTAGCCTCGTAAAAGGAGAATATTAAATGATAGATCATGAAGGTCAGTCGTCGTTCTTCTGATAAAATGACATGCGGTTACAATGCAGGCAGCACAGAGAGACAAGGAGAGAGACATACATGCTCTCCTAATGTCTAAACCATGGTTACGCGCTTGACGTGTTGACTTTTTTTGGTCAGGGGATTCAACCCGTTAATGCGGTCTGGATGTAATGAAAGTTCAAAACATTGTTTCTAAAACACATAATCCAGTCAATAGCTTTAACCTTAAGACACATCGACTACGGCTCCCCTGTATGGTTGGTGTGTAGCCAACACGTCAGTGTGTCTGGGACATGTGTTCTCAGAAAAGCCTGAAATGACCCTGTGTTCCGCCTGCTACATGGACTTTTCCTTTCCTCTGAAGAACTCACCTGTGGGCCGGGGCCTCATGGATGGACGAACGGGGCTATAATTCAAGAGCCCCCAGCGCTAGTTAACAAAGCCCAGCGCATTGAGTTTACAGTATTCACGTATTCCCGAGCGATTACCTTATCAGAGACCTGAGGATTCATGGTGCCTCATCTCGCCAGCTTCATGAGCACCCTTTCATGGGCTGTTTTTTATTTATAACTTCACTGGAACAGTTTTGGAGATGATACGTGAGTCCAAGGGGCCATTTTCTTTTTCAGTTTGGAGGCTTTTGAAGTCTGCTGACGTAAATGAACGTGTGGGCAGTGACTGGTACATTGAATACAATTCAAAATGCATTTCCGAGGGACAGCTCTGTGGGTCCGACCTAACATACACCTAACGACACAATCACAAGATCGTTGAGAAAGTTAATCCTTGGAACTTAATCCAAAGAAACAAACTTTGTAACCACTAAGACAAACTCCTTATGTTATGTTTTGTTTTGAAGCATCCACAAATGGTCTACACTTCATTCTACTACTATAAATACCAAAGTGACTGAATAGGGTTTTATCTTTGACCCTGATGACCTTGCACACTTGAGAGGTTCTACACTCCTGCAGGTGAGAGCATCCCTCTCACCTGCAGGACGTCCTGGATCAAGCCGAGCTGCTGCCTCAGCACCTGCTTCTGGTGGAAGCTGAAGGCCGGGTGGTGGGACGCCATGGTGAAGAGCAACAGAAACTGCTCCTCGGTCCTCCCGTCGTTCAGCGCCAACCCGTAGTTATTGATCACCGTGTCTATGTGAGTCAGGGTCCGGTACAGGACCCCCGCCGCCTCCCTGTTGTCCGTGCCGAGCAGCGCGAGGGACACTAGCAGCTTGCTGCGCACCACCTCGTCCGTGATGTTGGTGAGACCCGACAGGTCGGCGGCGTTGTTGGCTTTGATCTCCGCATCCCGGAGAGAGTGGTAGTCCTTGCGGGCCAAGTCCTCCAGGCAGGAGCCGAGGAAGCGGAGCTCGACGGGGACGCAGAGGTCCAGGAGGCCGCACAGGAACTCGGCTCTCTGGCCGGAGGTGAGGGAGGAGAACCAGCGGTACACCCCCTGCCTCTGGACGCTGCTGCGGCTCTCCACCATCCTTGCGCATCCACTCGCAACGGAGGTCGAGCCGACGGTTTGGACAACGTCGAACGGCAGACTTTCGGCTGAGAGCAAACTTCACAACAAAGGGGTGCGTGCGTAATTGCGCAGGCGCGCCGGGAGCGCCACTCTCGAGTTGGCCAAGTGGAGAGCTAACTCTCACCAACGAGCCGCGGACACGTTTCTTCCCACGCGCTGCGGCCGCCTAGAGGCCACGCGGATTGCTTTTGTTGGAGAACCAGCGGGCCTTTCCAAAACCATAATCTCAGCCAAATAGCAATCCACAGTGGCCCGTCTTCGTGTTCAACTCGCTGCCCCGGCCGCCAAGAGTCCCTCCCCGCCGGTCGGACCGCTGCACCCCCCTCCCACGATACTTTTGGCAGGATGGCAGAGCGGATCAAAACACACCGCCCCATTCAAGGAGACGCTCGTGGAGGGACTTGGTGACCGGAGCCGCCCCGCTCAGCTGTCCCGCACGGCACAAACGCACCTCCCTGCAGCGTTGCTCCTCCGTCCTCATGGTTTTCTGGGAATGTGTGAGAGGAACAGACGCTCGCAGCCCCTCAACAAAGCCCCAACCGCTAGCGAGAAAAGGCTATGTTTAAGTTCAAAAAGTAAACTAGTGGGGCTTGAAACTACTACTGCTGCTGCCGTTGGAAAATAAAGGTGTAACATTTCCGAGACATTACGTTAACTAGCACCGCTGTGGAGGAAATAAAACGTCCATTCGACACTGTTCGGGGTCCGTGAATGGAATAACTACAACATGCACCTCTGTGCTCCCCGTATTCTGCCATAAATCTCCACAAAAAAATCAGCTGTGACATCAACCCAGCAGCAAGACCAGCCCATTGTGAAGAAACGTCTTCTCTGATTGGCTGCACCTCCCGTCTGCCACGTGAGGTCCTCTCGTGATTGGCTCAGGGGGGTTTCTGCCGCCTCGCTAATAGCACATCTTTCTGTTATACGCTCATCCATATCTCAGCTTCATTTCTGGAGCTTTAATGTACCAGATGAGCCTACACGCTCAAATAACGCGATGTCATATATTTAGTGTGAAAGTCAATCAGTGAGAAAGTTATGGTACACAACTCAATGCAAGTTTCCGTTATTCCTTTTACTTGTGTTACTTTTTAAAAGGGAAGCCAGCATGTTCAGATATGACAGCAAAATTACTTATGCGAATTACACAATAATTAAACAATAACACAATATTATAATATTATATACAATAAATCAGTTTAAAAAGATAATCTTATTAGAAAGTGATCGTATAACGTATAACAAACATATACATACACAATATTTTGGGAACTGCAGTTATAAATAAGATGAGCCGTCAGAGCGAGGAATATAATATACGTTTATATAAATATAGTTTCGAGGACGGAGGTTATAGAGGTGTCTTTCCTTCTACTTCCGGCTAGTGATTCACTAAAGCCCCTTATAGACTCAAAGGCATTGTTTCATGGGCGAAAGGAGCAACGATGCATATTAGCTCAATGGTAGCTTCACATTTCACTCCTCAGAGAAACCAAGGGACCCTGGGTGCTGTTATTCTGTAGTTTAGATCCAGCACCACATGATGGCAGCAGATAACCACGTTGATACCTGATGCAGCAGGACGCTTGGTTGAGGTGATGCATCCACCTTAACACCCGACTCTGCCTCGTACCAGATGATGGAGATATGGAGTTTACAGTTGATCAATCAAGGCCCTTGTTGTCACCTCATGTTCCTTTGTTCGTTACTTTCGCCTGTGCTTTATCCTCACGTACGTTCATTGAGAACTTCTCGAGAGGAAACCCCGCCCCCCGGCAACGGGCCACGCCCCGTCGCTGACGGAGGAAAATCCACTTAGGGGTTGCTATAGTAACTGCACCCCTCCCTCCCGTGCCACTCCTTTTGTGCATCAGGGATGTTGCCTAATACACAAATACACACAGACACGAACACAACCTATGAAGACACAACACAGCAACACGATGAAAGAGAAACAGATTTGCAAAAAAAATACACCGGAGTCACTTTTTTTTTCAAATACTTTTCATTGTTTTCGCCACATAACTCAAAAACAAAACAGTTATTCCCAGAAACATAAAGCAAGAAAAAGAGAGAAAAAGAAAGAAAGACAGAAAGAAAGAAGAGAGTAAAACGATAGAGAGAGCTTGGCATGCTGTAGCATGCTGCAAACTCACATCATCACCAGGCTCATGGCATACAGCAGAGGTTCTTGGACCCTCCTTTAATTGGGGACCAAAAAATGTAAAACCAAAACACATTTGTCTGCCTCTTGCGGTGCAGGCACATCAGACTGCACCCTTATGTACCCATAATGTTGGGGCGGGCAGGGGGACCAGACACCAACACCAGAAATGTGTATAGTTTGAGGAACACTGCGTCAGACAGAACAAACAGCAGCAAACCTCCCTGCCCCGCTGGAAGTTGTTACTGATGGCAACGTTAAACTTGCTTTCTTCTCTCTACAATAAAAAAAAAAAATATATATATATTTTATATTCTTTATTCTTCTGCCTGCCTGCCTGTCAGTGAGGGTCTGCAGCCATTGGAGGAGAAGCTGGGGAACGGAGGCGGTAGATCCTGAACTTGCGGCTCTCTTACCACACCACAACCTTCTTCACACCAAAATCCTTCCAAACACTTTTCTTCAAGGCGGCCCGGAGGACCTCTTAGCCCCACGTGGAGGCCGCAATTGGTTTCAACCCAGCGACGACCAATCACATGAGTAAATTTCTTTTGGGGCCTCAGCATCACAATGGGTAGCGGACAGCTTTCTGTCCAGACACTGCTCCAATCAAAGCGTCTTCCTGTTGCTTTCAGATTCAACAAACGACTGAGACATTACAGTACAAACGCATGCTTTTTTTGTACTTTCATCACTTTGCTCTACAAAAGTGCAGACATCTTGCAAGTGTAGTCACTGTCTTCAGGTAATGTCTGAGAGAGTGATTTATTAAAATGATATTTCGGTCAAAGCCATGTTACTGGCGTTACACATACAGGCTTGGCGCCGTTGGGTGCAGGACTGACTGAGAGGAGATGTGTATCAGAGGAGACGAATCTGAGGGATGTGCTGAAAGCAACAACTCGCCAGCCGTCGCACACACACGCTCGCACACGCACGTTGAACCATCGGTAACAACACCCGGGCCAGGCGGAGGAACCAAAAGGCAGGAGTTATAGAAAGAGGGCTGGAGGGTTACAAAATAAAGAATATATCCATCAACATATTGTACATGAGAGAAAAACAAATGGTAATACATACATTGTAAGTTACAAATCTGTTAAAGATTATTTAAGATGAAAAAAGTCTATCTCGTCGGTGCTGTCTGCAGACATTGGAAGCAGACATGTCGCTGTTGTGTCAGCTGCAGCGCTCAGGGCCTGGGGATCAGACCGCTTTGGCCAATTTGGTTCTTTATGTGGAGCTGCTAGAGCTCACGTGAGTCCACCTTCTGGACCGGGTCGGCCCCTCTTGCGTCCGCTCCGCCGGGTGCTCCAGCATCTCTTTCAGGGACGTTCGGACCGAGCTTGGGCGAGGATACCCACGGGCAAGCTAGCTTCGTCCGAATAATCGGTGGAGCCTTTGTCCTCATCTTCCCCTGCAGTCCTCCCGCCGGGGTGGGGGGGCAGAAGGGGGTACTGCAGGTTTTCTCTGTAATACTCACATGAAATGTATAGTTGTTGTAGCATCAACAAGCTGACTCTGAAAGCGGTGCTGTCTTTAAATAAAAAAGTGAATAAACAAAATAGCCACTCCAATGTTGAGCAGAATCACCATGACAACCAGGAAAGAGCTGTAGGCCTGTGTGGGAGAGAGAGGGAGAGAAATGGGGAGAGTGTCAATAATCGGGACACACACACACACACACACACACACACACAGGGCTGTTTTCACAACAACAGTATAACTGTTTGCAGACATTTTTAATCATCCATTTATCTTATTTAACAAAGACATATCTTAGTACCACATTTCGTGGTTCCGTTATCTATTTTAAAAAACTGCAATGCGGTATAACAAGATTCATTGAAAAGAAAGAAGAGGGGACCACAGACCACCAAATCACCCGTAGGTGGTAAGTTGCTTTATGTGAATTCAAATCACATCGAGCCTTTCTTTTCATGATGGTCGATGTTCTGCTCTATTTTGTCAAAGTATTCATATTAATTAAATGATGATCAAAGGAGTTTTTGTTGTTGTGTTGAAATAATTAAAAAATTGTAATGACATTGATTGGACCGTGCATAACGCAGGCACATCAATAATCCCGTGGCTGTGGGCTGAATACACCATAGATACTTTACTTGAGTATTGTTGTGTGGTACTAAAACAAATGAAACTAGAGAGTTTGTCGTTATTCTTTTTTTGGTATCGGGTGCACCCCCAAATCAACCATAACTGTTATACTCTCTTTCTCTCGAGCCCATATTCCTTTGACTGTAAGTGTAAGAAAACACTTATCTTTTGAACAAATCTCAAAACAATGTTGTCCATGCTGTTTGAAAGAGAAAGGGGAAAAGCTTGGCAATGTTTCCAATAGGATCCCATTGTTTCTTTTGTCGAAGGACCCAATGTGATGCTACTTCTGAGGGGTTGTCCTACAAAAATACGTCACTCATGCAGAATAGAAAAAATGGGGGGGGGGGGGGGGGGGGTCTAGATCTTAACCAGATATGTCGATGCAACTTCCTCAGACAATCTAATAGGTAAATAAATAGGTTCAACGCCCACTGTACCTCCCGCTCCCTCTGGTTTGCTTTGTGTTCGTGGTGCCTGGAAACATGAATAAAAATGCTCACATGTAGCACAAATGTCACAGAGTCAACAAATTGTTATGTTGTATTATTATTTGCAGTGTATTTGCAGACCCGGCGGCGACAGTGATACGTGATAAGAAGCGCACTGACAAAGGAGCAATTTGCATCTTAAGATAAATAATACAATCCCGCGTTGGTCCCGCGGGCAGGCCCAGCTCCTGTGACAGAGTCCGGTCAGAGGGCGAACTCGGCCGCAGAACGGCAGCCCGGCAGCCCGGCAGCCCGGACCTGGAGGGAAGTCAGTGTCCTGCTCAATGACACTTAAGCAGATGCTTGCTGACAACCTGGGTCAAGCGGCTTAAGGCCAACCTTTCTGACCACCTGTTCGTTCTGGGTAAATATGGGAAATTGGATCTCGATTGCTCACTGACATCATCATTGATGTAGCAGATTTTTATTTTTCGCAGGCAGAACCCCTTAAAATGGTCTCCTTTGTTTGGAAATGTTACATTTCATAAGAATTTACATAAAGTGTGTTTTGGACTACAGTATGGTTGTAATTGAGACTAAGCCTTTTAACCACAGCGGCAGTGGGAGGAGACAACGGGACTCACTGTGCGCCGATATCAAGCAGCAATTGTGCAACATTGTTGCAAATGAATTTGTCCAGAGTTGGCTGCTAAAAAGGTTTCTGCTGATCAATCCGGTGAAAGGCTTATCACAGATCTGTGTCACAGATGATTACCAAACCAGGAGGATGAAATCCTCTGATCATTAGGCTGCTATTTAGAAAGGAAATACTGTATGTGCTTTTCATGTAACCACACACTGTACTACAATTTCCGACACATCTTTCTCTCTTTCAAAAATGGGATGCTGATTACTGAATAATTTAATAACTTTTCTGTCTGGCTCTCTTATTTATGCCAAAGGACTGTGATCATTCACTAATAGTATTCCCGATTAGTAAATCATATGAAAACTTAGATCATAGCAACAAGTCAAGTTGTAAAATACACTTATCTGAGGGAACTCTAATTTCTGTATTCTAAATTAAGCTATATTTAGAATACATATATAGTATTGAATATTTTATACCAAATAAACAAACAATATACATTGTGTTAAACTAGTGAGCTTTAGAGAAGCTGCTTGGCAAAAGTATAGTTCCAAATGGACGGCGCAGGCTGCCTACCTCTGCTTGGAGTTTCTATGCTAAGCTAACCTCATGTCGCTCTAGTTTATCTGCTAGCTTTGACATCTCTTCTGCGAGAAAGTGTATTTCTAAAAAAAAAATGTGAAGGAAATATATGGTGTAGCTGTTAACGTTAATTCCTTTCAAGAAAATCTCCCACTGCCTTACGTAATTGTTGTATTTATCAACATTATATTTATTGCATTACAGATCTGTATTACAGAAAAGTATCTATTTGAATTTTTAAGACTGGTAGAGCACATTTATTTCTTTATATATTTTTAGGTATGACATGTGTTAAGTATGTGAAAATGCACACTCGGAAACAGCCAAAACAGCTAAACTCACAACATATTGTTTTAAATAGCTACTATTTACTTTTCAAAAACAGAGCCGGATTATTCTTAACATCCTGGTGTATAATCATTCACATGCACAGAACACAGAGTAGTACTCTTCAGAGATAACTAAATAAAAGATCAGGTTAAGTATAATCACGGAACAAATTGTAACTCCTATTCGTTATTCTTTTCGCTTTGCTGAAAAGGAGTTTGAACCACTTTGATGTTGTTAATATAGAGATGTAATTTAATCTCCCCACCAGCTGACTTGACCCTACAGAACATGTTTTATAACAATGCTTATTATCCTGAGGAAGAAGTAAAGAACAAACAATTATCCTGCTGGACCTGAAAACTTCCACTCTCTTAGAGAACAGTAACTTATAGACAAAGATTTTCACGTAGTGAGTTCAAATCCTTAGTACTGGAAATCAATCCCCAAGCAAATAACGGTCTGTTTTTTGATCCTTGTCTGAATATTTTTAACCCTCATTAGACGCAATAATATTACTTCTTTTATGATCTTACCGCAGAAGTTAAGCCAAATCCTTCAGACGAGACGTGTGCCTGATTTTATCACCAGCAGGCTCGACTACAGTGCTGTAATGCTTCCTTTTGCGGCCCACCTCGGACAGCTTTACATAAACTGCAGACCAGCCAAAATGCAGCAGCTTGTGTGCTGCACAACCTGCAAGCGATATTATGTACACACATGTTTTAAAGTCTATTCGTCTTTGGACACATCCCTCATGGAGGTAACGACTTAGTGATCTGGAGTTGACAACAGCAAGCATAAGCTTTCAGGATCTCTCCGTCATCATGATGTTTTTTGTCTGCAAGGAAGGGCTCAGTCATCAGGGTGTACCTCTTCCTCCCGTAGATATGAGCCTTTGGGATGCGCGCAGGTTCATTTTTGTGTTCCATGATGACGACTGGTTCATGTCTTCCAGGGGACACAGAGGTGCAGAGCTATTTCGGTACAGCGGCATTATACTACATAAGAGTTGAAAAAAAGAAGTACGCTTTTTTTAATGCACTAATGCACTTTTGTGTTCCTGTCTTGCGCAAGATGCATCATATCAATGGAGTTTGATTGGCTGTTAACACCCCAACGTTTGCAGCGAATTTTTCGGACTGTGATAGTATCTTTGTGTGCTATGAACCCGTCTTACACAAATCTCACTTGCTTCTCTGCAGCAGCAAACATGCACACACACAACCTCCAACTATCCGCCGCCCCCCAATCCCCCGCCCCCCTGTCACGACACACGGCCACCGATTGGCTGCCGTTGATGCAAGGCATAAGCTGTTCCCTAGCAACAGAGCGCTGGTTAACCAATAGGGGGGCTTCTAGTGAGGAAGGGGCTAGTTTGCCAGTCTGCTGTTACTAAGGTGCAGAGAGGACCGCTGGGTTCTCTCTCCGCCTGTATATCTGTGTTTGGTGTGTTTTAGGCTTTGTGATTTCACGCAGCAGCAGCAGTCTGTCACTGAAGTACCAAACAAGCGACTTCACCCACGGGGGCCGGTCACCACGCTGCTGCAGACTCATTAAAGAGTCATTAAAGAGAACAGGTTGTGTGAGGAGAGTGGAACTGTGTTTAACAGTTTACACACAAGTGTACGCGGAGCTACCATTTGTTATGTGTGGCTTTCGCTTACAGATGATTTTTCACTTGGTTTCATTAGCTAATGCTGCGACTGTATCATTATCCAGGATTAGCGTGGTTGGGGGCCGTCCACCAGCCCGACTCAAGACGTAGCCAAAAAATTAAAATTAAAACGGCGTAATCCCCGCTTGTCCATAGTACAGAAAAATCTTTCTTTATTTTACAAGGTTAAACCGTGTGCCTCTCCCCCAGGATTATATTAATATGTGGGATAACATTGTGTTATGTCACCGGGGATGGAATGTATCCTCGTGACGGTGGGCAAGTCCTTTTAATCATATTAATGTGTGGCAGTAACATGACAGATTTGACAAATGCACCTTACAGTCGCTGTCTGATATAGAGCCAGAGAGAGACATGTAGGGGCCTGGGCACACCGGACACCCCCAATCATGCAATGTATTAAAAGTATTCAATTGTATGTAACCAAATGCAACGCAGCATTGACCTGATTTCTATGGTTTCAAAGATGCTTCTCATCAAAGTCGTGTTGAGAGATTTTCTTGGTTGGATACAGTGTTGAAAAGGACAAGCTTTTCTGTACAAAGGTGCAGATGGCTCTCTGTTGAGGATTGGGTTTGTGGCCTGGAAGCATCCATGTCAAGCACACGACAAACACCAGCCGAGGAAGCCGTGCACAAGTAAACCGCGCCTTCAAAAGGGGACATTTTCGATACGGGCTGGGGAGATGTGCTGCCATCGACTGTTCGTTTAAAAAGACCATATACAAACCGTTTGGGACATTGTGCTGTCTGCTACGTAGACACAGGGAAGGGCAGGTGGATAATACTAAAGGAATCTTTATACAACCGCAACAAATTAATACGTGCAAATGCATTAGATTCCCTTGAAAGCTTTTTTTGTTTATCTAAATTTGACATGTGCTATAGATTATGTCATTGAGCTGCATTAACTACACACTGTATATAGAGAACCATTTCAGAACTGACACCCTTTTTAGTAGTTGAACTAGTGTTGACTGACTTGCACAAGAAAAATCCTTGTGATGTGAACTTGAGCCCTCACGGTTTTAGAACTTTTGATCCTGTAAATATTGTCTCCTGACCCTCTGAACACAGAGGCAAGAGAGGAACAGCAGCCCTGCAGCCGATGAGGACTCGAAGTCTCACTGAAGGATCTGATGTCATGCCCCCATAACAATACACCAAGAAACCCCTTTGATTCTCTTAATTCTTTACCCTGGAAGTGTCCACGGGGGCCGAGAGTTCATCAGTGAGATCTGGTCACGGCAAAGATTTGAATTCTCCAAAATCTGCACTGATGGAATTTCTCAGCAATATGACATTATGGGGGCAAGCTGTTAATTCACATTGGCTGCTGAGGTGAAGGCAGTGATCATTGGTTGGCCGAGGGGAGCCCTGTAAAGAGTGCTCTCTGTAGTGCTGTAAAAGGGGGGTAAAGTGTAACGTGTTGGTGAGGACACCAGTCATTATTTGAGACTGCAATATTAAGTGGCTTACCGAGTTGCCTTTGCTCTGCGTGAGGCTATGGTCCTGCTGCTCCGGTAGGATGGGGGAGGACTTCAGAGGGGGGGAGAGGGTGAGGTCCCGATGCAGAGGCCGTGAATCCATCTTTTCCCCCGCTCGGTCCGGCTTGTGCGCTGAGTCTTTGCCCCCCTCTCTGCCCTCTTTTCCCTCCCTCCCCTCGCGGTTCTTAGGCCTCTGGCGCTGCACTGTGTGCGAGCGGCCCTCTCCGTGAGCGTGACTATGCCCGGGCGTCTCCTCCCTCTGCCCATCGGGCTTGTGGGTAGTGGAGTCTCTGGGCTGTAAAGGCTTCATCTCCATCTCATAATTGCTAATTTTCTCCTCATCCTGCTCCAGCAGCCGCCCCGCCAGAACGTGCACGGCCCTGTGCCCCGAAGTCCAAGAGGCCGACGAGGCCGACTCCACCCATCTGTCTCCTCTAGCCTGTCTGTGATTGGATGATCCATGTTCCCGGGACTTGTGATTGGCGGAGCTGTGTTTGTGTCCATTGGTCCGGCTCACTCCTGGTCCGCTGAGCCCGCCTCCCCCTTTCGACAACCCCCCTCTCCTCTTGTCCTCGCTCCAGCTGTTGGCCCGTGGGTGCTCCCCCTTCCCTCCTCCGCCACCACCTTCAACTCCCACGCTTCCTCCCTCCATCATCACCTGGATCTCCTTCTGCCCTCCTCCCCCGCCTTTCTCACTTTTTTCTCCACCCTCCTTATTCTTGTCCCCGTGGTCCACGGCGGTCTGCCGGTGGAAGCGGGCACTTTTGCTTCGCTGGGACGGCCGGGCCGGGGGAGGCGGGGTGTGGGGCGGTGAGGAGGAAGGGGGGCTGAGGTCAGGGGTGGCGGCATCGTTCGAGGGGTCGTCGGAGCCCACGCTCTTGACGTAGAGGTCCGGGCTGTCGGTGGTGCAGGCGCTACTCGACAGCCCCTGACCCTCAACCTCGCTGGACACCTGGCGTTTGGGGCGCTGCACCTCCATGCCTGCAAAGGACAGATGACACCAGAAAGACGGACGGACATTTTTGGTTTACTTGTTAGCATTGCACAACTACCGTTTAAATGAAAGCTTTGGTAAAGTACGGTGGCCCTGAAGTGCAAAACACAACGGCAAATAGGAAAACACAACGAAATTAACTCCTTACGGAAAGGGTAGGGCCTTATAGCAGAGGACGGACCCTTCTGATTGGACAGATGGAGCGTAAGTTTCGTTATGGAGCGTTAATTTCGTTGTGTTTTCCTATTTGCCATTGTGTTTTGCATTTCAGGGCCACCGTGGTAAAGCCAATAATGACATGCACATTATTTCGGAAAGAATTTTCTGAAAAAACATTTTGGATCCCCATCGACAAAGAACACAAAACCACGACCAAAAGAAGACAGGTCCATCAAATCAATTACACAGCATGCAAAGAGGCACGGCAAGGCCCGTATGAGATTTATACCTTAGACGGCTGGCCCAGAGTCGAGCATAAACCAAAGCCATCTTAGTGATGTAACTATTTAATCTGTTAAAACATTTTTTTCTACTATAAATCTCTCAATGGAGCAGGAAATCTGGGCTGATAAAAATGACTTTTAATCCTAACCATTTTTGCACATGCCCTTAGTTTTTATCTGCAAACAAATGCATGGGAAACAGTTAGGCACACGATGGGACACACGATGGGACACGCGATGGGGCACACGATGGGACACACGATGGGGCACACGATGGGACACACGATGGGGCACACGATGGGACACACGATGGGACACACGATGGACGCATCAAAACAGACAAAATGTCACCACGGCTTCTTGTTTGCGTGTCCCCGCGACAGAAAAAAAAAAAGAACAATCACTGTTATCTCAGGTATCCGTGTGTGGGAATGCGAAGTCAGAGTGCGTGTGTGTGTGTGTGTGTGTGTGTGCGTGTGTGTGTGTGTGTGTGCGCGCGTTGCTGTGCTCAGGAGTGCATGTTCTCGTGGGTAGGTCACCTGTAGTGCTGTATAAATGTGAGTGACAGTGGTACCAACTCAAAGCTGGAGGGTGGTTTAAACCGACCTTTATCACCGTGCCACACACACAAACATGTGTTTTGTTAACATGTGTCTGCTTGTTGTTGCCTCTTGTTTATGAAAATGCATGTTGTGATTTTGCTTAGTTGCGTGTTCCCACCATTTCCTGGGTGCTGGAAGGAAGGAGAGAACTGCTTGGCGGTGACCCTCGCCATGCGACTCTCCTCCTGGGCTTTCTGAGCGGCTTCAACCGCTGCCTCAGCTTTGCCCTGCGAATGAGCCGTCCTGATGCACAGAGGACAGGGGGACAGAATACGAAGCGCCACATAAATAAAATAAACCTTTCACTTTGAATTTTCATCATCATTGGTTGTTATTGGAGTCCAAAACAAATTCCTTTGAGGAAAAAAAGTGCTGTACTGAAAAGCATTGTCCCAAAGTGCTTTGATAAAACAAGATAACCAAGCTTTATACACCACAGTATTTTACTTTTTCACTGGTGTAGCCCGGTTTACTATAAAGTTAGCAAAACTAATATTAATACACACAACACTCTAAAACAAACTAGTTCAACATTAGTAATAACTTCATAACTCATTGCCTGAACGAGGCCACTTCTGCGTTGTTCTATTTTGTGTTTTTTCTCCCTCGCGTTTAGGAGCAGTAGTAAGATAATTTACCATAACTCACTTCATGTTTTTATGCTTTTAATTTAAAAAGATGTTATTAATTCTTTATCATTTTGAAGGCCAGAAACAATTAAAATTCCTATGTGATAAGTTACAGCTATTTGAACATTTTTGAGCTATTTGAACAAGTCTTTTGAGTTGTGAACTTGTGATGATCCGGTGGTTGTGTACAAGCGATGTGTCGAGCGGAGACACATGTTGATAGTGTTTTTTAAATTACTTTCACTGCCAAAAAGGATATACACTGATGCACACTAACCGTTGGAGATTAAAATAAAAAAAATCAAGAACTGACAATTTAGCATTAGCAAAATGGCTGGTCTGTTAGCTGAATGCTAACAAGCAATTTATTAGCAAGCAGAAAGGCAAACATTTTGGTTTAATTCATTCCTTTGATAAACTAATATTTATAAGTCAATCTCCATGCAGAACTTGGAAACTGTCGCCGTGACGGTGGCTGCTAGGAGCAGCCAACTTTTCAAGACGATAAGTCCACGTTGCTAGAAAAATGAACCACCAATTGCAGCTGCCAAGATCTGAGCTTGACCCAAGATCTGACGTTTTAATAGGAACTCAAATGATAAATCTCCAGACTTGCATCTCCATTGAGCACAGGTATATAATTCCTTGACAGGTAGTACTACATACAGTGTATACCGCTTCATTCGTATCTGACTCATCGGCTCCATTGTGTGATTTTGTGGCTGAAAATCTGATTATAAAAGACACCTGAGCCAGAAAAACGCACACATGAACAGCGTAAATTACACGATACCTCACACAGTAACTTATTTATTGCAGAGCTATAGTATGTATTGTATTCCTCTTTTTAATCATTTGCCTGAAAATGTGTTTACTCTCACAAAATAATTCCTTTCTCTGGATGCTTTTCACATCTCCTTCCTCCATAACTGCTCCTTTGCAGCATGTTCACATCACCCTTGCTCGTTATTTCCTCCCATATTCCATTATACCTTTTTCTAAATGCTCCTTCTATCTTCACCACAATCCCCTTTCATCTGCTGCTTGATCAGAAGCAGATTGATTCATCTCTTTCTCTCGGTTATATCAAATACATGTTTTCTATCAATTACAACCCTTCTCTCACCTTTGTCTCCCTCTTTCAGTCTTTCGAGGAGCTTTCGACTTGTGTAGAAAATCCTCTCCAACACGCCTTATTTTCTCTCGCTGCGCAGTAACAGTCTTGATGCAGTGTTGCATGTTGATGGCTATTGATCCCCCCATCGTCTCTTTGCCCCTCGCTGCACTCTCTGCCAGTTCTGCTTTGCCAGGGACCACGGTATACTCAACACTACCATGTGTGCGTGAGCGTGCATGCCGGTCGCGGGGGAGGTAGGGTGTGTGAAGAGAGAAGAAGACCGTCTTCGTGTTTCAAATGATATAATCGCATGCTGACATTTTTGACAGAACTCTCATGTTTCCAAGGTTTAAAGGACATAAATAACCCGTTTTCCATGTGAATGTAGAGCACAACTTGCTCTCACCTTGGTGCTCACACCAAACCACGAAACACTCTTTATTATACACCCCCCCCCCCCCCCCCCCCCTCCCTCCGCCTCTTCTCGCTCTCGCTTTCCCTCACAATTTCCTGTCCAACTAGTAGTCAGCCTGGGGAACAGCGTGTTTCAGGATGAATCAACTGCCTGGAGATAAAACAGAAGCCTGTTCGATGGGAGCTTGGTGGTGCAACACACCACATTATGTCCTAGGAAAGGATTTTAAAAAGAGAGCTACAGATGGATGGCAAGAGGAGGGGAGTGAAGTGACGAGGAGGGAGGAAGGTAGGAGAGATGAAGGAAAGGTGCCGGGGATGTAACTGTGAAAGACATGAGAAACTGAAAGGGAAGAAAAAAGATGGAGTTAAAAAGAGATTACACATTCAACATCCATGAATCATTAGCAGATGAAGTGCCTGGAAGGATCGACATTATTCCCCAGACAAAAGTGGAAGGTCATGACACAAAGCAGCGGGGTATATGAGAGAGATGGTTGAACAAAAATATTCACCTCATTGGGGCATTGGAGAAATAGTCAAGCAAGCCTCTGGGGAACATGAATGTCTCTATACAATTCCATAGCCATTCTTTCAAAAGTTGTTCAATCTGGACCAGTGGTGAACAAAACCATCTCCAGAGCAACGGCCCTTGTGTGGAAAAAACACACACACAGGGAGAGAAACACACAGCCGCTGAGGTTAGACGAGGAGAGAGAGTCTAATCCAGGACTCAGGCTAAGCTACTCCATCATCTGCGTCATTACTCTGAACCAGCTGATGAGGGTGATTCATACCTGAATAACTAACTGGGCTTTCCGGTGTGCATCACTGCTTATAGTGTGTGTGTGAGTGGAGCTCACTGATGAAACCAGGTCATATGATTGCGGTGAATGACTCCATTCACACAACATGGTGAGTCACCAGTGTGGTTATCTGGTGCCAACGAATCACAAACCACAACAACAACAACAACCAACTTACCACAGGTTGCCTTGTGGCCACATCAGTCAACACATGTGACCACCTTGATCGCGCCAACTATCACACACACACACACACACACATAGAAATATGGGATGTACTAAGACATCAGGCACGTTGTCAGATGACATTGACTTTCTACCAGGTGTGGGAGCCAAACCTGACCTTTGACCTCTCTGCTTCCCGACATGCAATCAACCTTAAGAAGTGGATAAACGTTCACAAAAAGAACTGCGAACATGTTTAGAAACACACAAGTGCGCCAGAAAAGTTGGACAAAGTGCTGAATCATCCTTGAACCAGATTGCGGTCATTTAGATCCATGAGTATCTGCAGCTAGCGTCCTGTGACTGTGTTTCACCTCTCGGCGTGTTCTCCTGGTGTTCACAAGGAAATACCCTGCTCTGCTGCACTGGGGGTTGGCCAGAGAGGGAGAAGCTGTTCTGCTGTCTGTATCTGGGTTACATATTCCTGTGTGTGTGTCTGTGTGTGTGTGTGTGTGTGTGTGTGTGTGTGTGTGTGTGTGTGTGTGTGTGTGTGTGTGTGTGTGTGTGTACCACAGAGAACGAGCTGGTTTAAAAACTAGGCTACAACTGCACTGTATGTACTGTACCTCTCCATTATCGGAGACATTTGGCAACCTGCATCTCCTCTCTGGAATGTCTGCACTGAACTTGGCAAATATTGAGAGCATCTCCATTTTCATGGAGTTTGTTAAAAATGTGCCAAGACCTCATAAAAAAAATATTTTGTGGAAATTTAGATTGACACCTACTAAAAGTAGATGCTTCTAAGGAGACAACATCAATCCGGCTTTATAACGCAAGGCAAGAGGTAAAGAGTGCAATAGGTGATCCACAGTCATCAGTTAAAAAACTGAACACTTTTTTAGTTGAGATCGGTGTTTAAGCATGCAAAAAGTGGCATCCTACTTTAACAAAGGACACTGGGTCCCTCCCCCAAAATAATTTAAGCACCGCTCCTCCCTTGTGCATGAGCTCCTGTCCTCCAAAAAGTCAAAGCAGCACAATCCTCCTCAGCCTACAGTCGACTAAGTTAGGATCTGACTGAGAATAATTGTTGGAATGCATTAAGGATGCATTCCAAGTATTGTTCTTCGAATCTTTATTGTTGGAATGCATTAAGGATGCATTCCAAGTATTGTTCTTCGAATCTTTATTAGTTGGAATGCTTTAAGCATTCCAAGTATTGTGCTTCGAATCTTTATTAGTTTGAATGCTTTAAGCATTCCAAGTATTGTTCTTCTAATCTTTATTCAACTTATTATTATTATTATTATTATTATATTTCTTCCGCGCCCCCTTTCAACTGCTTCCCATTTTCAGCTATTTAAACCGTTCAAATATTAAAATATTCAGCTCCTTTCTGGCTTAAGGGCTATGTATGTTCAGCTTTCTAACTCTTAAGCTTGAATTTATATAAATCAATAATCATTAATATTTTAACATGGTTTTCAAATGGAGTTTGCTTTCAAATCCTCCTAAACTTCTTCAACTTTCAGATTTTTCAGCTTTGCAAATCTTTCAGCTACAGACACCATTTAAACTTTTAAATGTTGATTCAAGTCTTAACTATTTTATGAAAAAAACTGCTTCTTGATATCTATTGTACTTTTTTCATAATCACTGATTATGTTTCACTAGTTCTTCGCTCCGTTTCTGACTTTTACATGAGTGTGTATTGCGTCTGCTAGAGTGGAGAGCTCGCGGGCTAGAGGGTGAAGCAGCGCAGAAATCTGGTTAAAAAAGTATGGAACTTCTGTCCTTGCAGCCAAAGTATACACTCTAGAGGCTTCATTTCTTCAGATTAATGAGGGTATGGTTGTGCTGATTGGATTAATGTGTTCATGGAATCCCAGAGTTTTTTAGTTTTGGCGCAAGGAGTGTTTGAGTGACACAACCTCTGCCAAAAGCCCCATAGGCTCCAATACAAATCTGCCGACATATTTCTCACAAAAATCCACAAGGTACACGTTTTGTCAACGGCCATAGGAGCCGTATTTATTACCGGACAGACATAAAAAGCACATCCACGCGTTCGGTAGAGTCTTGGGTCTCATACAAACGTAGTATTTTTTAGATAGCTGTTATAGTTTTGCGCTGGTTCTCATTTGTTTGAGGTGTGGATTCTGTGTAACTCGCTGTCCTGTGTCTGCCCTTTTGCAGCCGCACAGGTGCGCCGTTGTCGTGGTTACGAGCACTCACATGCTGCAAGATCTGTCTGTGGCTCACAGCTGCTCCTATGACCTGATTAGTGGAGTCACATGACGCAGCTATGCTTTCTGTCAACAGACCAATATGATAAAGACACTCGCCCCCCTCCCCCCTCCACCCTGACCTCTTCTCACTGTTAATCACTCTCAGTCAGTCAGTCTGTCTAATTCTCCTCCCCTCTCCCTCTCTATCTCTTCCTCACCACCATTCCCTTCCTCACCCTCTCACCCTCCCTCCCTCTATCTACACCCCCCCACCCCACCCCATCCAATAGGTGCGCCGTTGCCGTGGTTACTCGTACACACGCTGCAGGATCTCTGTCTGTGACTCACAGCTGCTCCTATGACCTGATTAGTGGAGTCACATTACGCAGCTATGCTTTCTGTCAACATACCAATATGATAAAGACACTCGCCCCCCCTCCCCCCTCCACCCTGACCTCTACTCACTGTTAATCACTCACTCAGTCTGTCTGTCTATTTCTCCTCCTCTCTCTCTCCCTCTATCTCTTCCTCACCACCCCTCCCTTCCTCACCCTCCCTCTCTCTATCTACACCCCCCCACCCCACCCAATCCAATAATTTCAAAATAAAAGCCCCATGGAGGGAATTTTTACTGTAATGTTTGTGATGAGGCCTATTAATTAAAAACATCTTAGTTTGAATAACAAACATTCTGTCTCCCACTACGAATATTACTCGTACTTCTAGTACTACAACTGATACTTCTACTACCATACTACTAGTATTTCTACTGCTATTAATACTACAACTACTACTAATGTTATTACAAATACTACTATGGCTAATAGTGTTAGTATTACAGCTGTTTCTACTGCTATTGATACTAAACCAACTTCTACTGCTAGTACTACTACTACCATAATTACAACTATAACTACTACTAATATTACTACAAACAATTTTAAACCTCTTTTTATTCATCTCAGCTTTTGTTATTTCTGTACTTTTTTAAATTCATTTAAGCTCCTGCAACTTCTGTTTTGCAATATTTCACATTTACTTCAGCTGTTTTCATTTCTGCTTTTTCAGCAAATCTATTGAAATTCCTTTCAGCTTCTCCCATTTCGGTATTTTCAGCAATTTAAAATTCATTTCAGCTTTTCTAATATCTGTAATTTCAGCAAATGTATTCAAATTCCCTTCAACTTTCTGTATTTTCAGCTATTTTAAAAAGTTCATTTCTCCCTTCAACTTTCTGTATTTTCAGCTATTTTAAAAAGTTTATTTCAGCTTTCAGCTTTTTGCATTCCAACGCATTTTCAGCAGGAAATGCATTTTCTAGTTCTTCTATTTCTTCCGTGGCACCTTTCAACTCCTCCACACTTTCAGCTATTAAAATCCTTCAAATATTAAAATGTTCAGCTTCTTTCCGGCTTCCGGGCTATGACTTTTCAGCTTTCTATCTCTTAAGCTTGAATTTATATAAATCAATAATCCTTAATATTTTAACATGGTTTTCAAATGGAGTTTGTTTTTCAAATCCTCTTCAACTTCTTCAACTTTCAGATTTTTCAGCTTCGCAAATCTTTCAGCTACAGACACCATTTCAAATCTCAAA